ACTCATCTGGTTTTAGTAAATTACCATAAAGTTGATTGATTTATATTTTTTGGTTTAATGCTCGCAAATCTGTAGTATTCTTTGATATTTGCAATTTCGCTTCGCCTGAGCCTCATAAACAACAATTTGTATGTGACGGTGTGCCTGAAAAGAAGCTTTCCCTTTTCTACTGCCATTACAAGTATCTACGGATACTACTACCAATGCAGAGGAGAACAGTAGCCGTCGGTCACCTTTCACACGATACAACGACCGCATACGAATGACCTCATTAAAAACTGCTTCTTTCCTACTTTCGGCCACTTCTGAGCATTAAGAATGAAAACGAATTGAAACGAAAGCACCAATCAAAATCAAATATGCAAAAGTAAATAAATACATGCTACTGCCTGGTTTGTTAAGCGGTTTGTTGTGACCCAACAACAAAAACGCCTACAACGCCTCTTCATCGCCAGGCCAGCATAGACAATGAGTATAGAAGGTTGGTGGAATGTAGTAAGTACAATTGAAAATGACTTGTAAATGAGGCATGGGAGATGCAGAGGCATGGCAATTAATCAATCACGATTTCGAACTCGTCTCAAGCGAAAACGAAATCGAGTGACAAATATTTTGATTATGTGCATACTATATGTATGTGCTACGGTTTCAATTTTTGTTTCCCCCTCTCTCTCTCTCTCTCTCTCTCTCGCACTCTCTCCATTTTACTGTTTCTTCGCCCCACGCTAATGGCAATAATTTCACATTTGATGCGATTAAATTTCGCTAACGGCCTTGCTGGATTGTCGGCAATTGTCGTGTAGTGGTTCTTCAGTTTTGTAATTGCTGTTAAATTTTTTGGTAATTTATTTATTTCAATGCGGCCTCTGCTCGTATAAATAACTCACAGTAGCAGTCGTTAGTTTCGCATGCCCGCACTTTAAAGGCCCCGAGGCTAAAACTGTTTGTGTCTTGTTCATTGGGAACACTGTAATTGAGGCTCGAGCTTCGAATGACAGCCGCATCAACTGCAATGATTAGACACCTTTTGGGATCATAATTATACGACACGAGCGCCATTATTTAATAAACAAACAATGGAGAAGGCTATCCAAAATGCTTTCTTTTTGGACTGAAAAATCAATTTGAGCTCTTTGATAAATGTTACTGCATTTATTTTATTTCAGTCAGTATTATTGATATTTCAATTGAAGAATTCACTCTTGATATTAAAAGCAATACGCAGAAGACAAGTAAATAAATCGATTTTTTTATCAAACATTTCTTCATATTTTATTTATTTGGTTTCAAACGTTAATATTTTAAAAGCCAACGTGAGTAAATAGTCAAAGCCGAATTGAAATTATATCAAGAGAGTAGGCATACATTTTTTTACCCTCTATTGGTTTTGAATTTGATTGGTGTCATATTTTATGCTTTTTTATATCACTTTTTGAATAAACAATTAAAATCTTAGCCTTTTAACATATATGTAAACAAATCACTTTTTTATTCCTTTTAACTAATTCCGCTACTTACAAAAAAAAAACCATGTCATATTTTTCACTCTCAAAACATTGAAATCTCCGTCAATTGCTGAGATTGTAATTAAAATGCTATTATTTCAGTTTCAACCATAAACTTAACTTATAATCACAATATGACGTTAATATTGCACAGCAATTAACCACTTGATCCAGATAAGGCCAGATGTATTTACTCGTAAAATACACTAAAATACACTATCTTGCAGTCATGTTGTTCATTTTAACTGCTATAAAATATTATTACAATTTTAATGTCAATTTAGAAAAGTAAATTCGCTGAATGCAATAGTCTAAATTTAAAATATATTCAGCTATCGACTGCTAATAGCCTAAATAATTGAATATAGGTATAACAATAATTAAAGCCTAATAATAAGGCAAATTTAAAACAAAACCACAATGTTAACCATCTTCTTATATGTAGGTGAGAGCCGAAAAGAACTCATATTTGTTTTCGAATGCGCAACCTTTCGCTATCATCTCTCCATAGTTGGTCCGATGTTAATGCTAATAACATAAATCATCTCTCTGTAAATCACAGTAGTCAACAATGTCAATAGTGGCAACTGAAACATTCAATAATACATATGTATAGTAGTTTGTAGCTTCAGCAAAGCAAATAAATGCTATCATAATTGGTGAATTGACAGAGAGACGGGCAAGCCATTTAGCTCCCTACGTGCACGCGTACATACATAAATACATACAGATGTGCAGATATATGGATAATTCTTTAGTACATACCTGACCACAGCGCTAATATTTGCCAATTAAGTTTTACGAATTTTTTTATGACAGAAACAACAAGAAAAGTAATAATAATAAATTTGACATCACTCCGCGTAAGAGCATAAAATTATCAGCTTCACCAGCATCCCCAACAACAAAATCAACAACAATAAGAACAACAATGAAAGAAAAACAAACCGTCAATGGTAATATTTTGTTGTTGTCGTTATTTATAAATGTAAGCAGCTACCCGATGGCTAAGTGGCCAACAACAAACATTTGGTCATAATCCCGACAGCTAACGGCGATAAAGACGCCAAACGTTCGACGCAGACGCTGATTGATAAATTCTCAATTGTGCGTGACAGCGCGGGGTGGTGGCGGAGAGGCGGAACAGCGAAGAGGCGGAGGGGCGGAGTTGGACATGTCCAACATTTGTCTGTGCAGCTGGCCGGGCCAGCGACATTGACCCTTTTGACGCATCATCTATACGTATTAGCTCATCAAAGCAGCGACCTAGTAATAAATTATTAGCCATAATAATAACAAAAATATTTAACGCTTCGATCAATTGCAAAAATCATTTAATTTGTGCGGCATTCATTCACACATGCTCGTATGTGTGTGCAATGCGCTTCGACCATTTTCTTCAAGTCTACTTCAATTTATTTACCTTCAATTTGCGAATTGTTGACGCCGTTTACGTCGTACAGTGGATCTCATCTTAAGTTTACTTGATTAAATAATCCTATAATCCTAAAGGGTCAGAAAATATGCTTGTTTGAACTATATCTCAAAAATAGAGGATTCGGTTCATCTCAACTTCTTTCGGGAACTCAACAACGTTTTCCTTCTTTTAAGCAACTTGTTTCTATTTTTATTTGCTTTAAACTACATTTTTGATGGTTGAAATCCCTAATGTTTGTTTCTCTATTTTGTGGAATTTTCAAAACATTATTTTAAATTTTCTCAACCAATGGAAGCCAATGTATAAGAATGAAAATAGGGGATTTGGTTTATCTTAACTTCCTTTTAAGCAACGTATTTCTATTTTTTATTTGCTTTAAACTACATTTTTGACAGTTAAAAGCCGTAATATTTGTTTCTCTATTTAATCGAATTTTTACAACATTTTTTTACCCAACCAAAGACATTCAGAACATATTTTAACATTGAACATATATCTTGTGAGTCTCACAAAAAAATGTAATTTAGAAAAAATATATAAATATAAAGTAGGAATACAAGATAAGAATTCCCTTTATTATTTATTTTTTATTAGTGAAAAGAAAACGTTAATATTGTTTTGTCTTTCAGAATAATTGAGAACGTTCTTAAAAACAATTTGTTTTATTTATTTATTATTTAAAGAATAGTATAATATTAGGTAAGATATACCATGTATAATTTTCTAAGTAAATACCAAGTAATTCCAGCCATTAGATTTTAAATCAGCTTCTTTGGACTTTAACTATTGAATTGCAATCAGGGATACCAATACGTAAATGCCATTTACAAACCCCATAAACGATCGAAAGCCAAAAATTTTATTTCACCTAAATCAGGGATTTGTACCACTGTACGTTGCTGCCACCAAACGGTGTGGCGGTCGCTGCGACGGCTTGTCTTTAAGTTTGGCTAAATGAAGTCGACTCGGCCTTGCCGTTTGCCAGTTTACTTTTAGCTTTTGCGCGTCGCGTTCGTTGGTAACTGCGATGATCTTGGCAGCCATCTCAACGTAAATGTGATATTAAGGAAATCATTGCCTGGCGCCAATTAAATTAAGCAAGCAAAGTGTTTGGTGACAAAGCGGATTAATTGTGGAAGCACAATAAGTAGATTTATCTGCAAACGAACAGAAAAAACAAACAATAGAACGCAATCAGTGAAAAATATTTGATCGGACAAAATGTCGCGGTTTTATTTAAAAATGGTAATTGAAACAAGGCGCCAATTAAAGCTAACAGATATAGTGTTTCAAATAAATGTTAAAAGCAAAAACAAATATAACCTACATTTAATTCTTTAAATGAAATATAATTATATACAAAACAATTGCTTGCTTTCTTGTGTGGTTTATTAGATTAAATATATAATCGCTTTGGAAATCATAAATTTCTAGAATAGTCTATCAAACCTATTTGAAAAAGTTTTTTGATAAAAAAGTAATTGTCTAAATTGGAGAACCAAAATGGTTTTCAACAACTCAGAAAACCAAAGCCTAAAATCTCAGAAGTCAAAAATATGTTAACTCCTTTGAGTAATTCACATTTTTGAAATATTTTTTTAATATATCGATGTAAGGAATTTTTTCTGTTAGAAAATTCTTTTACAACTAATGCACACTAAACTCTTTTTTAAAATACGATTTAGATCTTAATATTTTGTCTTTCTTGAATAGGCCTGAAATTTAAAAATAAATAAAAAAGTAAGTTACTTTTTTTTAACGATATAATAACAACAAAAATATAAATATTTTTATAACAGTTCTGAGGAACAAGCACCATAAGAAGAATCAAAATTTAAAATATTCAGAAAATAAGCTTTTTTAAAAACATAAAATTATATTATTTGTTTTGGTAATTAGCTTTTTAATCAAATAGGATAATATGTTCTTTGCCATTGCTTGATACGATTATTGAATGAAATGGAGGCGATTTCCAAACAAGTTTTTTCCGAGTGTGTTAAGAACATTTACTCGTACTTATATTAATATATTTTTCTTGCATTACATTCAATTTACAGTTACACAGCTCGCCAGCAGTGCTCGTCCTTCTGCTTTGTCTTCATCCTGCACTCCAACTCGCAAATGGCGCACCCTATTATGGCAAAAGCTTTAAGAGTTCCAGCCAAACCGAGCTCTCGGCGGCGCCGTACCCAACGGCACCCAACGAAGTTCTGCCCATACAGCCACTGCTCATTTATCCAGAGCCCCGTGATGTGCTCTTTCAGGCCCGCACCCTCGACGATGACGAGGAGCAGGATGTGATTTATGTAAAGCTGCTGCAACGCAAGAGCGGTGGCTATCGACCCAATCAGCAGAGACTCGAACAGGCGCCACACATCAAGGAGCTGAGTCTTAAGGACATTTTCTATGTGAAGGCCCTGGCCAATGGCCAGTTCAGTCACGAACGTTTGAAGGTCTATCGGCTTCCCGAGTTTTATGCCATCAGTGTATTTCGCAATGCGGAAAAGTGAGCAACAGGCGAAGGAAACAGCTACTCGTAATATACATAAAATTGTTCTGTATAAAGTTATTTATAAGCCGCGTTAAGAAAATAAACAATAACATAAATCTTAACTGCTGCTCACTTTCAATTCGATTGTTTATGAACGGAATAGAGTCACTCACACTCAATACATCTCACACATAAGCTCGATAATTTATAAGAAAGCCAAACTGTTGACTGATTTTGACATGCACTGGGCTTGGGCGTCGCCAACCACGTCAACCGGCAATTAATAAACGTCAGTCAATTGGCTAACTGCCTGACAGCAGCAGCTCGCAACAAAGAACCTAAATCCCTTTTGTCATTCGCCGCTCAAAATGTTGCGCAATCAAAGGCGCCAAAGCCGAAAGCGTAGAAAGACCCACAAAAAGAAATCATCGCAAAATTTACAAACAAATCTGGGAACGTGAACTTTCGCCACACAAAAAAATTGCTTCAAAAAAAGCGTAGCAACAAACAAGCGTACTAATTTTAAATGCAGCTCAAGCAGATGCTCCACTTAGACGTGACAATCTCTAAAAAAAAACACCAAAATGTTTGTATTCAAAAACGAAAACAAATTGCCTCCTTAGATCGTGACAAATTCAATAACGTGTATAATTTGACTTTGAAATAATTATGTCTCCAATAACAATACAGGATTAAGATTTTCAAGATAAAATATGTATATAAAATGTTATCAATTATAGGTTCTGTCCCGAATTGTCTGCCCTCTAACCCATTAGCATTTGATTCTTTATTCATACCAATACGTTGTCAGAATTGTCAAAATTTTATTTATTATTCACTCAGCGTTAGCTTTTCAAACATTTAGCTTACATTAAGAAATAGCTAGTCTTCTCCTTTTAAGTCACCATTAGACGCGGCGCAATGTTCATTGACATCAGTTCCTGGAACAGCAGCTTGGCCGCATAGGGCAGGCGCACCTGTGAGATTTGCGTTTTATTCTTGCAGCCCTTGCACTCGAAAGTGTTATTCCGCAGATTGGCAATGGCAATCAGACCGCAAAAATTGCAAATATGCACACGATACGGATCAGAGACCTCAAAGAGACGCTCACGAAGAAATTGTGCAGCACCGTGAGAAATTTGACAATCACGCTCCATCTCGCCGAAACGTAGACCACCGTCTCGAGCTCTGCCCTCCATAGGCTGACGCACTAGAATTTGCACAGGACCGCGAGCACGGGAGTGAATTTTATCGTCCACCATGTGCTTGAGACGCTGATAGTAAGTGGGGCCCAAAAATACCTGCAAAGAAGGGAGCCAAAAATATAATACAATGTATGTATAAATAAATACATATAAAAGAATAGACTTTGAAAGATTGTTGCACAACACACGTCCTAAGAAGCTATTTCATGTTAAGAGATTGAAATGCGAAGCAGAAATATTCAAGTCTACTTTAGTTTCTAATGACAAATTGCTGATTGCAAATCATTTTGTTAACTTATAACTTACCTGGGCATTAATCTTTCGTCCCGTGTGACCATTGTACATCACCTCATTGCCACGCAAGTGATAGCCGTACTCCTGTAGGAAAGTCGAAATCTTCTGCACGTTGACGGCATCATTGAAGGGTGTGGCATCGCCTATTTCGCCCTTGTTGGAGCCCAGCTTGCCCTGCAGACACTCGATCAAGTGACCGATTGTCATACGAGAGGGAATGGCGTGGGGATTAATGATGATGTCGGGTGCCAGACCCTCGCAAGTGAAGGGCATGTCCTCCTGGCGATACTGAATACCGCACGTGCCTTTCTGGCCGTGACGTGAGGCGAACTTGTCGCCAATTTGTGGTATGCGTACCGAACGCACGCGAATCTTACAGAATTTGTAGCCCTCACTGTTCAATGTCAGCATCACTTGATCCACGATTCCTGTCTCAGAGTTACGCAAAAATGTGGAGGCATCGCGCTTGGCAAATCGTTTTGTTGTGCTGTCTAATTCATCATCGTTCTCGGGCAGTGTAATGGTCTTGCCAATGACAACATCATCGCCAGAGACTCGAATACCGGGCGCTATAATGCCATCGTCGTCCAATTTGTCATAGTGAGCATTGCGCATTCCTTGGCAGGTGCCACGATGTGGTTTCTCAAAGTTCTCTTCCTGATCGCCAACCCTTTTGTTCTCTGCATCCTTATACGAGCGATAGAACACCGAACGGAAAAATCCGCGCTCTACTGCGGAAGCGTTCAAGATGACAGAATCCTCCTGATTGTAGCCAGTGTAACATAAAATGGCGACAATCGAATTAATTCCAGCGGGTAGCTCTCGGAAGCGCAAGTACTCCATTGAGCGTGTAGTAACAAGCGGTTTCATGGGATAATACAACACGTGCGCAAGTGTGTCCATGCGCACGTGGAAGTTTGTTATATAGACACCCATAGCCTGTTTACCTGTGGATCAAGAATTATAAATTAAAGGGTATGCAAATTTATATAATTGAAGTTTTTGCTCACCCATAGCGCTTTGATATGTGTTACGCGGACTCTGGTTGTGATCGGGGAATGGTATAATAGAGGCGCATACTCCCAAAATCATGGCCGGGTGAATCTCACAATGCGTGTATGTGGTACAATAGGCATAGTCCTTGTCCTGTTTCAAATCGTACGGCGACATGGCAATCATGACTGTCTCCTCCTCTAAGGTGTCAATGTATTCGACGACGCCCGAGGCCACAAGCACCTGCCAACTGTAGTTGTTATAGTCGCGCTCCTTTAACATCTCCACATGCGTCTTCTTTAGCAACAACGATCCATTCTCCACTATGAGCAGCGGCCTACAAATGCGTCCAGCATCTGTGTAAATACGAATCTCACGATCGCGAATATCGCGAATCATTGACACCTCCGACACAATAATGTCCATCTGACGACGTAGCTTGCGCAGGGTGGCCATCAGCTGCTCGGGATCGCGATGTATGCCAACCCAGCAGCCATTCACAAAGATTTTGGTAGCATCTGCAATGGCCGATGGTGCAATTTCTTCAAGATTTTCCATGGACCACTCCTCCAAGAACTCCAGAATTGGTGAGGGTTGCGAACCCACAGAAATGTAAGCCATCAGCGCCAGATTTTTCACCAGACCGACAGCAGCGCCTTCGGGAGTCTCGGCGGGGCACAACATACCCCACAAAGTGTTGTGCAGCTGTCGTGGCTTAGCTAACTTGCCATCGCGTCCAATGGGTGAATTGACACGACGCAAATGTGAGAGGGTGGATGCAAAAGTGAGGCGGTTCAACACCTGAGAGACGCCAGCGCGTGCCTGATGAGCTTTCTTCTGATCCCCCCAGTTGCCCGTGGCCAGTGAGTAACGCAGGCCGTCTGTAATAATGTTCGTCTTGATAGCCAACTCCAGATTAAAGTCCTTTCCGCGATCAATAAATTTCTGTGTGTACATGCGCACTTCCTTCATCAGGTTCTTGAATAGGCCGCGGAACAGGAAAGCCAGCAACGGACCAGCGAGATCCAAACGTTTGTTACCATAATGATCCCGATCATCGAGCTCGCGACGACCCAACGAGGCCAACAGAAGCCGATGCACCATGTAACCCAAAAAGTAAGCCTTCTTGGTCTCACAGAAATCGGAGACGCCTACATGTGGCAACATTTCCTTCTGCAGAATTTCCTTGGCGTACTTAATACGCTTGTCCTTTGTCACACCGGGCCGTGCACCACGTGCTCCTATAAAATTTAACGCCACATTTTGCTCCTGCACGACGAACGCCTCGTCCAATGAAGGTTTAACCATTTCCATCATTTCCGGATCATCAAAATCGTAGATAATGTGCTCCAAAATGTCACGATCGGCCACAAAACCCAAAGCGCGAAACACAATCATGATAGGTATCTCCTGTTTGATGTACGGCAGGATTGCTATGATGCGCTGGCCGATAGCAGACTTTTTAATGTTCTGCGAGCCACGCGCCATCATGTTTACCCAAAGCGTTGATGTGGGACGCGAGCTGTGCTCCAGGCAAGAGCGAATTTCGGTCTTGAAGGCATACTTACCATCCTTCATGCTGAACACATACACAGTGTTCGTGGCCATTTTCTCTTGGGCAATCAGCACTTTCTCCGAGCCGTTGATAATAAAATAGCCACCCGGATCAAGCGGGCACTCGTTTAACTCCGTCAAATCACGATCTGTTAGCTGGGACAGCAGACAATATGTGGAACGCAACATAATGGGAATTTTTCCAATGAAAGTCTTCTGATGCTGAGTCTCAACAGGGTCCGCGCCCTCAACATTCTTCGTTTTCGTAATGTCCACATATAGCGGCGCCGAGTAAGTAAGATTACGCAGGCGCGCCTCATTGGGCATCATAGGACTCGGTGAACCGTCCTTCTCCCAATGCGTGGGCTTAGATAAGTAAATCTGTTCGAATTTCAGCGAGAAGCGAGGCGGCGTCTCCACTTCACCCGATGTATGTTGCGCCTCGGCCTGCAACTCAATAGCCGGCGAGTCCTCCACAATCCGCTGCACAGACATTTGGATGAACTCGTCAAAACTGTCCAGCTGCTGACGCACTAAGCCTTTTTCGTCGAAGTACGCGTTGATCACGATCCAGCAAGCCTCTTGCCACAGTTCGTGTGAGATCTCCTCCGCATTCTCCTCTTCGTACAGTTCTACAAAATGCAATAGTAATGTTGGTAACAGCTACTTGGTAAATAAAAGCAATAAGAGCGCTAGCGCTCCAGACCCAGCCGCCATGTTAATTTTCACAAAAGCGTGTTTTACATTTTCATGTTTTTATACCTTCTTCGTTTTCGTACATCATGATTTCGACTTGGTTTTAGTGCAGATGCACTTCTAGTCGGCAATAAACAAGTTTTATTATATTTGTTCACTATATAAACACAAAATAACCAAAATAATTTCACAAGTAAAATCAGCAAACACCGCAAGTAGCGGCGTTATTGTTGGTGCAATGTTGCAGTGTTGAAAAGCGCGTGGTTGAAAAACATAAGGTCTGCTGCACATAAAGTTTGCGAACGTTTTATAAAAACATGACTATAATATTGGCTACAAATGATAAGGAATCAGTAATTTTTTATGGTTTTTATCATTTATTAAGCTTTACTCCATTTTAGGCGATAAGAAAGGCTTTTATTTATTTTTATGTATTAATAGGTGCACTTGACACACTGGCGCTTGCAGCACTACATGTAACCAGCTGATTTGCTCGTCGCATGTATTTATTTTCATACATTGAATTAAAGGATAGATTTCTATGAAGTTCCTTTTCAAAAGTGGGCGATTTTTGATCGCCGGCGTTGTGCCAGGCATAGATTTGAAGGCTCACGATGTCATCGTCGACAAGGAAAGTAAAACCTACAAATCGTACCTAGAGCGGAAACCCCCCAATGAAACCGGCTTGGACAGATTAAAGCATATTTTCACAGTAGAGTAAATTAATTATATCTAACAGTGGTAGATTTTCCTGAAATTTACATTTTGTACTTCATTTTTTTAGTGAATTTGGGAGCATATCTTCTGAACTCAACTCTATCTACCAGGCTGGCTTTTTGGGATTTCTTGTAGGGGCACTATATGGTGGCGTTACACAATCGCGTGTCAGCTACATGAACTTTATGGAGAACAACCAAGCCACGGCTTTTAAATCTCATTTAGATGCAAAAGTAAGCTGTTTAACAATCAAAACCCGGCTAAGAAGATGCTAACAGATCTATTTTCTTTTGCAGAAAAAACTGCAGGATCAGTTCACTGTCAATTTTGCAAAGGGCGGCTTCAAATGGGGCTGGCGTGTGGGCCTGTTCACCACATCATACTTGTAAGATTCGCAAAATTAATTGTAAAGATATTGCTTGAATTGCTACTTTATCACCTAACAGCGGCATAATCACCTGCATATCGGTGTACCGTGACAAATCCTCTATTTATGAGTACTTGGCGGCAGGTTCGGTGACTGGCGCAGCTTATAAAGTTAATCTAGGACTGCGTGGCATGGCAGCTGGGGGCTTAATTGGTGGCTTCTTGGGTGGTATTGCGGGCGTGACATCGCTACTGCTGATGAAAGTCTCCGGTACTTCGATGGAAGAGGTACGCTATTGGCAATACAAATGGCGCCTGGAACGCGATGAGACTATAGCACAAGCCATGAAGAAACAAGCCGAAAGAGCAGGCGAGACGCCTAAGCTATTCACAGCACATGACGAGAAGGTTGGTGATCAAGTGACGCTTGAGTCAGTCAAGTAAAGTCCTGGCTAAATACATACATACATAGTTAGTAGGAAAAATGTTAACTGTTTTGAATACATACATAATATAAATCATGTTTTTTATTTAAATAAATTGCAATTATGTCCATAATTAAACAAGAAGACAAAGAATACGAACTAAGGAAGCCCTCGTTGGCGGCTGCTATGCGTCGATCCAGTTCATGCTTAATGCAACTAAATCTGCAGTTTAATTTGCACACAAATTTTCCAAAATATTAAAGTAAGTCGTGATAAGTACATACATACTTTAGATGAATTTGTTTGCTTAAGGGGGATATGACTGATACAAAAAGTATGTAGATATGAGTATGATCAGTAGATACGACTCTCAATGCAATAAATTAAATGCTTTGCTATAGGAAACTAAAAATGTGAATTGACAAGACTTTTAGGCTTCGCCTTCGTTGGGACGCGTCATGCGCTTTGCGCCGCGATTCGGTGGGCCTTTGGGCTTGGCAAATACTGGTCTGTGCAAGATCTTCTTGGGATGCAGCTCATCTTGCAACGATGCTTCGGTGAGTTCGTTGCCGTGATCGATTTCCAACTTCTTCACGACATCTACGCCAAGCGCCGTAAGCTGTTCGACGAAAAGCGCCTTGCAGCTGGAGTACATCATGCGCTCGCGTACGGAACAAGTGTAACCGGGCATGGAGTAAATGAACACATAATTCTCGAGGTAGTCACCCTCGTGCGTATGTCTGAACAAGTACAAATGATAGCGTGCGTGATCCTCGGGCACCTGTTTTGGCAGATCGCCTATTTCAACTTTTGCGGCATGCGAGACATGTATGCGCTCCTCCTCTAGGTCAATGCGAAACTGCAAGTAGTCGTAGTTTCCGCGCAGCAAATCCTGCACCGCGGCAATTGCTGCGTCAGTCAATGGACAAGATATGCCACCGAGCGTTTGGTGGCGTGTCTCAGTGCTTATCTCGGTATGCACCTCGGTTTTGCGCAACTCCGCCAGCTCTTCTTCGCGTGTGGTGAGCGGCGCGGGGGCTGCGAAATCTCGTTTGTGCTTCTTATACCCTTCCAAACTGGTCTCGTCACGCGAAGTGGCATGCAGCTCTTCCGAAATGTACGCCGTTCCGAATTCATTTTTGAGCGTTGCCTTTGTTGAGGCGTAGACCATTTTTTGGCGAGTGGTAGCCGTATCTGGTATCCAGCTGAGCAGAAGCCATGCGTAACCCAGAGGTATTTTCGTATCCAGGCGATAAAGTATATAGCAGGGAACATTTTCTTCGATAAGGGGTGATATCAGCTTGTCGAAGTCACGTTCCCAGTCCTTTTTAGCATCCGCGTTCGCGCTACAAACGAGCTGTTCTGCGGGCGTGGCAGTGCACACATATGAAAGCTGTTATCAATTGCCGGTACATAAAAGCGAGGGTAGTTCCAAAACCTTTTTGTTCCGATAGCGGAAATTACAGTTTGGATGAAATATGTATGTATTAGCTTACAAAAACTAGATTCCATTATAAGAACGGCATTAATATTACGACAAAATTGAGTCTATCATCATTATTTAATTGTGAAATCAAGTAAGTTTTGGAACCACCCACGCACATATACAAAATACTCACCATTTTCGATGGAAACTTTTATCAATCGCATTTTTCCATTTTTCGCCTTGCCGAAAACTTTCGCTAGTTGCTCGTTTCCTACAGCAAAGCCAAATATTAGTTTTAGTATAATCAGTAGTTTTAAAACTTACCTCTAATACCAGTTTGATGAGACATAATTAAAAGAAAATCAGCTAAATATGGATATGGGGCTTTATGGGTATAGCTACAGCTGGAAAAAACGAACTGGCAGCACTTTATGTACGTGCGTATGTATATCACAGACCAGTGCTACCCATTTAATGGAGTTGAGTTTGATGGTGCGTGAATTATGCATAATATACATATGTACATATGTATGTACATATATAACGGGCTATTCCGATTAACTTAAGTTTTTGAGCTAACGAGCAGATTACATACATATTTCGTTCAAATTGCGTATATTTCGATAAGATAAGTAAAACGGAATTGTAAACTTGATTTATTTCTTGATTCCTGATTCCTTTGATTCAGATTACTTTTAAATAAAGATTCCTCTGATATGTGATTTATATGTATATAGACAAGGAGGAGGAGAAGGAAGCAACTACACATAAATTAATATTTTACAAAGTATAACATGTTAATCGTGAACTTTATGAACAGGAAATGAAGAAATGTTTTAATTCTGAATACGATGTCGAAAGCGTTTAAATGGATATACATTCATATGTACATACATACATACATGGATAGTATGAAGAATGTTACTCACAAATACTCAACAGCTGGTCATGTTGCATGAGAATGGGTCACACTAACACAACGCTGGGTATGACCAACAGTGCTGTATAACGGTGGTTTATATAAACAGCGGCGATTGCAAAAATTTGTGAGTTACAATAAAAGCGAATCCAATTTGTGAAAATTCATTTTTTTAATTTATGTGAAAATAATAAATCTAAGAACTGCGTTATCATAAGCATGTCTGCAATTCGACAAACTGGCAACATTTATTATGGTTTACGATGTATTCCCACACGCATCGCTCATCGCTATTAAGCAGCCAAAGCATTGGCATCACTACCATTCGACGTTCTTTTTCACGCTGCAATGTAAGATGTGAAGCGAAATCTACGTTTTACTGCATTTAAAGCAACTAAAACAACACAAAATTGCATTTAAAGTTTTACCGTAAACTAACTAAAGTGAGTGCATATGAGAAAAATACTTTTCTGCTGTGTATTTAAGAAAAAACAGCATTTGGGCTCATTAGTAATCAGTATAATGCTAGCGCTGCCGTCGCTGCCGACGTCAGCAGCGACAGTCACCGCCCTAGTGAAATGTTTACTTCCGTTTGCCACTTGAAAAATTGGAATACTAACGCTATTTTTCTTGTATGACCAGCAGCCACACTCATGTTAACCACAGCCCCCATGGCAAGTGATAACATAATGGATGAATTAGCTACTTTGATACGCACCGAAATTCCCGATGGCCGCCAGAGCCTGCGCGACAGCTACACGAATCTGGAGCGTGTGGCTGACTATTGCGAGGACACGTATTACCGCGCGGACAACAAGAAGGCGGCGCTCGAGGCCACTAAGAACTATACAACCCAATCTTTGGCCAGTGTAGCGTATCAGATTAACACGCTGGCCTACAGCTACATGCAGCTGTTGGAGCTGCAGGCTCAGCAATTGAGCGAGATGGAGTCGCAAATGAATCACATAGCACAAACGGTGCATATTCACAAGGAGAAGGTGGCACGACGGTAAGCTGGTGCTGGACGTTTCTTTTACTTACCTGTCTTAAAAAATATTTTTAATTTTAGCGAAATTGGCGTGCTCACAGCCAATAAGGTGAGCTCGCGTCAATTTAAAATAGTGGCGCCTATAAATCCAGAGAAGCCCATTAAATATGTGCGCAAACCCATCGACTATTCCATTTTGGATGAGATTGGGCATGGCATTAATTCGTCATCGCAGCAGGTGCGTCAAAAGCATCGAGGCTCCAGTCACGGCTCCGTGCAATCGCTTGTGCCCTCGTCGGTGGGTCCACCGCCAACCACGAAACCGCCAACACCACCGCAATTGTCTCGCGCTGGCAATACAGGCACCTTGGGCAAATCCGTCAGCAATACTGGTACGCTGGGTAAAAGTTCACGGGAATATCGTACACCCCCGGTGGTTAATCCACCGCAAGTACCCTCGCACTATGCACCCAACTATCCGATTGGACATCCCAAGCGTATGTCCACGGCATCGTCCAGCACCACCATGACTACGACCACTACAGGCGGTGGTGCATCAGGCAATGAGCGTGCGGCCGGCTACAGTGCATTGCCAATGCCGCCAAGCCAACAAATAGCCACGCATGTGAATCTGCCGTCGGCGGGCATGATGCAATCGCTGCCACCGCCGCCTCCCACTACATACGATGACAGGAGCAGCATGCCGCGTAAGTCTTCAAATCCGTCTATTAGTTTTAGTTACTAAAAACCATATATTTTCTCGCCACCAGCTCCACCCTCGCCTTTGACTGTATCGCAGCATGAAATAACCGAACAGAGTCACATAGGCATGCACACCCTGGGTCGGAATATTAATAGGTTAGTATAAATATAAGACACGTATTCTACATAACTACATCTAAACATAACATCTAACAATTTCACATATTACCACATGCTTCTCCTCAGGAATCCGAATCGGTAATTGGCATGTTTTTATTTACCATCTTTTCCATTAATTTATTAACGTACTGTCTGTTCAAATTAGAAATCATTTCAGTTTAAATTTTGCACGTCCGGGCTCACAATCGCCGCCATTGCCGCCACCGCCGCCACCAGAGGATGAGCATCAGGACTTTGGACGTCCACGCACATCCACTGGCCCGCATCAGCTGGCGCCTATTGTGCCCGAGGATCAAAATTTACCCGGCTGGGTTCCCAAGAACTACATAGAAAAGGGTACGTATGCATTACTATTTGGTTTATGTTAAAGGTAACCCAATATTCTTTCGCTCTAGTGGTGGCTATTTACGACTATTATGCCGATAAGGATGATGAGTTGAGTTTCCAGGAAAGCTCGGTGCTGTACGTGCTAAAGAAGAACGACGATGGCTGGTGGGAGGGTGTTATGGATGGTGTTACAGGCCTATTTCCAGGCAATTATGTGGAGCCTTGTGTCTAAGCACTGCCAACGCATTAATCTACACGAATATTTAAAAACAATACCACAGAAACGACGATGTGGCTTACAATGATAATGAAAATAATGACGCTGATATTGATTATGATAATTAAAAACTAGCTATGATAAACAGCAACAGCAAGCAAGAGCAAAAGCAAAAACCAGCAAATATTCCAGTAGCATAAACTAAACTTCAATTAAAATCAAATTCATCTAGTTTAATATAAAGCAATTGCCTTTTTGATAAAGCTGCTCCTATCCCATACAGAAATACACACCAACCTACTAACAATTGTCAATGCATTTATAAAAGTGCAGCACTTTATAAAGCAATTTTCTACGGCATTTTTCTATGTAAACGTAAACTAAAGGATAAATAAACATTTAATAGATGAAAATAAACCCATAACAAATTGAAATGTCGCCCCCTTATAACATAGTTCAATTCAGCCAGTCAATGGGCAAATAAAACACGAACCTAGAATTAACTTAACCACCTCAAGTTAAGCTGAAATACAAACTAAATATTTGCTCACATTTTGTTCACTTTTATAGCTACACACCCATTCACATACACTTTGTTTTAACAACCTCATGCCTAACTATTGTATTTGTATTGCTTGGCATTGATCCTAGGCAGGACTCGCTCTGCAATGTCGTAGGTTATATAAATTTCAGTTAGCATTTTAGCCCTTAAGTATTGGCCAGTTGATGGTTATTATGTATTAAATTGCATTATCTTTGATTTTTTTGTTCTGCTATTATGCGCTTGCATTCTATGTTTAGTTAAGAAAAAATGAAGAAATCAAAACAATTATCATATGTGTACTATATGCATTGTATGGCGTATTATGTAATAGCTAATAAAAATTCAAAATCAACTCTGGTGTAATTTTTTGTATATTTTGCGACTGCATGTTGGTGGCATATAATTTGCAATTGCACAAGCCTGCGTTGCGCTTGACCTTTCGTGCAATATACAAAGAAATCTAATCAAAGCCCCTCAATGGGGCACCCAAATTGATCGTTAACAGTAGCCCAGCAAGTGAAAGTGCTGGAAATGGAAATTAGAGCAATTCGCATGCAAATGCCCGCCGAAGGACGCATTTTATTGGATGGTCCAATTCAGCTCTAGGTTGCCAATGCGGAACTCCCATAAAATATTTACAAATGCCAACACGTATCGAGCAGTGAGCGCTTGCCTCAATCAATCAATCAATCAAATTCAAAACACTTTTCATTTCAATGCCTCATTGTTGTTGGGCGGCACCCTCGCATGCTTCCGTGCTGGATGTGGAGCGGAGGAGGAAGCGGAAATCGGCGAAGGGAAATGCTGCACAAGCGAATTAACGCTTTAAGAGACTATACGAGTGTATGTGGCTGGTTTTTTCCATTTTTATTTGCAACTCTTTATCAAACAATTTACTTCACTTGAGTTGAGTTGACGTAGCGGAAATGTTGGCCATAAAAAGCTGAGTGGGTATTGCTGAGTGTGTCACGGCAGCAATTGAAAAGAAAAACATCAAGTGATTTCTATATCAAAAAGAAAATGGATTCCTCGACGCGCCAACGATTATACACACTTGGCACCACCACTTATAGGGAGATTTTTCCATAGCACCTATGTATAAGACGAAATTTATCCAAGTTCATAAATGGTTTTTAACACCAACAGAAACTATTTTTTAAAGGGATGTTTGTACATCGATTATATATATATATATATATATATATATATATATCTTTATAATTAAATCTGTGATTTAAGTTAGAGTATATTAATTCTTATTAGGAGCACAGTTCTTCTGACAATTAGAATACTTGTGTGTTTGTGATAACAGCTTTAAAAATATTGTTAGTTCCCACCTACATATTCAAATAAAGGACCATGATATTGTCTAAATAATTCTACAGTTTATAATATAGTAAGTGGTCGCTTCTTTCCCAGCGTGAGAACCAGACTTACAAATCAAGTTGCATTTAATGCCCTTTTGCGGGCTATAAAAAGTGTTAATAGCAACCAGAATGTGGAAATGGTGGCTGTTTCTGTGGGCTGTTCAGGGAGAACAAAGAAAAAGTGCCTCCATTTGTTCGTTAAAGTGAAGCATAATTAAAATAAATTATTCTTATCGGCTAGCTTAAGAGCAGGGACGACGAACAAGGAACAGTTAGCTACACGTTTCAAAAAACTCGACTCTAACAATTCAATTATTCGCATATACTTATTCGGAAAAAGGCTTTAAAGTTTTGTAATTACTAGAGATTTGTTTGTTAGTTAAAGCAATGTCAAATTAGCACTGAGAAAGAAGACTGAAATTAAACATTAACATTTTTTAATTTCCCTTCAATTATAACAAAAGCTAACTAGCCTTAGTTTTAAAAAAGTTTATTTCTAAAATCAAGCTGGCTTTTTTTCAAAAATTGTATTAAGTGAATGTTTCTCTGAAAAACATTTATATCTTTGTTGAAATCAGATTTTAATTTCTCAGAAGTTCAAAGAAGAAGTATTTTGCTTCTAATCATCATCACATTACAAGCTTTTATTTAGAAAATATTTAAGACCCAGCCATTTTAGTTTTTGATTGTTTTATTCAACAACCACACGCTTGTCATATATCACAACTGGATAGTCAAAGTACGAAATTATAGAACACAATGAAAGGAAACCGCTTTTGCGAACCAATAGTTGCTAAGCTTCCTGGTAAAAAATTTTTTAGATTTTTGTGTTCTTAACCCAACAGAACTTAGCCTAGAACAAATCCATTTTGGTAAAGGGCCCTTAAATGTGTGTACTTTTTTGAGTGTATGTTTCCATTCCATTGGTGATATGTTTTATGATTTTATAGCAATACTTAGGAACTCCACCGAACCACGTTGACAGGCTTACAATCACATTTACTTAAAATATATTTTGGAAATATTTCAAAAATGTGATCGGATCACAAATCAATGATTGTTCACATTATCTTCTGCTTGATAAAGCTGTAACTTCTTGTGTAGCCATGCCAAGTCCGCAATTTAGTTGAACACAATCCCAACAAATACAATTTTGCCCTGTAATGCTGCACCAAACTTATGGAACACACACACCTAGCCTTTCAGGAATTGTATGCAAAATGGCGCATTAGCATTCTAACAATTCGAATAACGGAAAGAAAAAGGACAAAAAAATTGATTTCGCCTCGTGGCCACTATACACCACAAAACTAACCACCCATACAGCCAAACGGACCGCAACAGAATACACTATATCTAAACACATATGTACATACTTGTATATATATATGTATATACATATATAATTTGGCCAACGTCAAGTGTTAAGCCTGTCGTGTTTTTATTCTGACCGGTAGGCAAGTCCTGTCGTCTGTTTGCCTTTTCAGTTGTTAGTTGAATTCAGTTAGTCAGCGCGAACGGTTGTGCATCGGTTACTCGACCTCTCGACCTCTTGGTCTCTTAAAGCTCGCCAGAAGGGCCGTTAACGGTATTGCAGCTCGAAGTGCTGAAGACTTTTTGTAAAACGGCTCGCGTGTGCATTCTGTCGAGTGCGGGAATTGGCGAAAACAGAAAAACATTTGTTAGTGCGCCGTCTTTTTCGCAGAGGTGCTTAAAAACTTTTTGCGAAATAGTCGAACAATCTTGTTTATTTGTTTTATATAATCGCTAAAAAGTTTTGGCATTGCTTGGTGTTATTGGAGTAGGGACTTAGTTACTTGTGTGGCTCCTCGACTAGCGTTTAATTGACCTACTTGGACAGACGTTGGCCGTGGTCGCGTTCAACTGCTTATCGGCACAATCGTTGCTTTAATATTCCGTAAGTTGGGGCTAACTGTAAAATATTACATTACACATTGTGCCGAGATTGAGGCCAACAGCGCCATTTTGTTTTCGAATATTTGAAATATGGGAAAAACTTCTGTCGCGTAAACAATGCGGAGAAGTTGGCCCACTTTCTGGATGGACTTGCTCTGAGATTGTGGCACGCACCTGCTGGTGTGTGTACATACCAATACAAGTATATGCTTGTGCGTGTAAGTGTGCGTGTGTGAGTGCGGCGTGATTTTAACACCAACCTGCCTGGCTAATTGCGGCTTTCGCCAATTACTCAACTGACGTTGAAGGTTGAAAACATTTTAGCATGGAGTGACGTCACTGAGCCTTGAGAAATTTAAGTTTCATGCAACTTTTAGAGTCCACCGAGTGGTAATTATACGAACTGGGAATATATGACCCAGTGCTTTTAAGGAAGTATATAAATAGCTCATTCGGTCGCGAACTTCAACATTCATTTAGTCCTCTCCTAATCAATCACGGGCTCCAGGTTCGCTTTGTGTTGAAACAATTAGTGGTACTGTATGGTTGCAAGTTTGACATTTGGAAATAATATTTGTCGAGACCATTATCGCGCAATATATCTTTCATATAGTACATACAAAGTAAGTCATAAACGTACACCTAAAGAAAAAATTGCATACTACAAATGATTATTTGTATATTATATTCAATGTTCTAATTTGTATTTTAATCAAATACTAGCAACGAGAATTTAACTAAAAACATATTCAACGCACAAACTAAGCTTCCGCAGCCCTAAGTCACACATAATACAAATCCTAATGCCAATGCTCCCATTATAATTTGCTGATTGTCCAATCGTACACATTGCAAATATAACCCATTTGTTACAAAAAATAACTTGTTTAAATATGAATAATATTAAAACCAATCTTAGAATTCTGAAATGGTTTCTTTTTATATTTGTAAGCTATAAAACGGTGCGTATGAGCAATATTTTAAGCATAACAAGAGAGAACGCTACAGTCGAGCAAGCCCGACAGTAAAATAGCCTGTACTCTCCACAAAAAGGAAAAATTAAAAAAAAAAAATTTAAAAAAAATTAAATTATTAAAAAAAATGAATGAATTAATTAATTAAAATAATTAATTAAATTAAATTAGAATACATGTTTATGTTCAGTTTTAACAGCATACATTTACATCACGTACCTATGCGTGTTTATATGCGTGTATGTATGCAGCACAAAGTTGAACAAAAGCAGCAACAACAACAACAGCTGCGGGCAGCGCTGCCGACAGAGCTGCAGGCAGCGCATGAGCAGCGATTTTACTTATGGCTATAACTTTCTTCAGAATTGACCTATCATGATGAAATTTGGCACACGGACACATTAGTACTAACTGGATGTACCTACCAAAATTGATTTTTAAATTCCGAGAATTACGGAAGTTATAAGAAAAAATACGAATTGCGGGGGAGTGTATCAGAAAAAATAAACAAACTCGTTCTGCCTAGGGCTTATAGGAACCTTGATACCAATTTTGGTTATCCTAGCTCTTGTACTTACTGAGATCCTTGCGCTCATACAGACAGACGGACAGACGGTCAGACGGACAGACGGACAGACGGACATGGCTATATCGACTCGTCTTCTCATCCTGATCAAGAATATATATACTTTGTGGGGTCTGCCACGCCTCCTTCTGTGTGTTACATACATGCGCACAAAACTAGTATAGCCTTTCACCCTTTGGGTACAGGCTATAAAAAGACGACTGGCAGTGAAAGACCCAGATCATGAGCGTTGTTATACTAATAGGTGGTAGTAAATGTTTTCTGTTTTATTTATTTTTGTGCATATTTTTTAATTTATTTTTTATTTTTTCATTGCGAATCAGCCCAAATCTGAAAACTGCGGGGCCCCCGCCCTGTTGCAATGCATAATGTATGTAATTTTTGGCGTCTGATTTTTCACAAACACATTTAACAATAGCCTTTTTTACTTCTGATGCCCTGATTTTCTATGCACTTGCTTTATTCTGATTGCCAAATTATTATGCTAGAAAAAAATCGAGATAGGCAAAGTGCTCGTCTGAAAGAAGTCTCTGTTCGATTTCAAAGATTCTTCCTTTCCCAAGTATGTAAGAAAGTATTATTTCTTGAGTGCTGCTATAAATTCTGAATGTAAAATAACTTCTAATTATCTTCAAAATTCTAACAAAAGTCGAAAGTTAGAGTTTTATCTTTTAATATTTCGAGACAAAGCAAGCTTTGACTTTAATTTTGTAGAAAACTATAGTAATTTCATGAATTTATTTCATTCTCTGTGCTACTGTGAATCAGTTCAGTTCGAAAATTAAATACAAAAATTTAGGTTCTCAAAAATGCGAGCCAAATGGCGAAAGAAGCGAATGCGTCGACTAAAGCGCAAGCGCCGCAAGATGCGCGCAAGATCCAAATAGGCAGAAGGACATACGCAGTACATTGAATAGAAAAAGTTCACATTTTTGGTTTCCCAAAAAACAATTTCGTTACACCCGTTGATAAGTGAGTATTAGGTGTATAAGGAACTTTAATTAAATACTTATAGTAATGTGCATTCCTTTTCAAACAGATTTTTAAATTCTCAAGATATTTTAAGGCATCAGAGTGTTTATATAAGCAATAATCCAGTTAATTACTGAAAATAAAGCAATAATCCAAAAAATAACAGAATATGTGATTTTATAAAAAACATTTCATAAACGATTTTAGCCTAACAATATGAAGAATGAAAGTCTACAAAGATGCTGGAAGAACAAATTTAAATTAAAGTAGACGCGTTATTCAACTGACTGCCAGGAAACGGAAAGAAAGACAAAGAAAGAAATAATATAGCAAAATTTTAAATGCTATATTTCTGACTAGCCACTAAGAGTCCCCTTTCAAACTAAGCGTACAATTTAGGAAGAAAGGCATGGTCAGTAAGAATATAGATTCCGCGGTGGTTTTTATTTCCACCAAAAGTATACAGAAACTATACCCACAGGAGAAGGGAATATACATTTTATAAATAAAAAAGAATGTCAGAAACTAGCATTCACCTTGGAAGATAACTCGCCGGAATGGAGTGTGCAAAGCAGTTTTAAGATGTACTTCAAGTCCTTAAGACCCATACATATGAGCCTGAAAAATATTCCATACCATTCACTTCATACTAAGTTTAGCTAATTGCCAACTTAATATACTCCTTTCTCAAATCGGCTATCAATTAAAGCCATCGCTCATTTCTCATTCAAATTGCTAAACTCATAATCCTCCCATAATTAGGTGGTCCCATCTCCCATAGAAACGTCAAATCAAATGTTTACCATACTTTTATTTGTTTACTTTTATTTAAATAGCAGTTTACATGCACAGCACTGTCGAGGAGCTCACGCACTGATTTGTCGATGCAAGAACACAACAAAGCTTATTTACCGGTAGGCCATTTGTCAACCTGTGGCAGGGCCAGCCTACAAAAGTGACCCCCCGGTGAGATGTCAACTGAAGCGTCCAGACTGCTTCAACACAATATGTGTAGCTCATAAATCTGCGCGCCATAACCAAACAAGGAGTGTAGTACAGGCAAATGACTTCATGGCAAAAACCATTTGAGGTGCTAGAGTTTGGTAAAGGTTGGTGGGCTCTGGTGGGTTGTGGACTGTACAGGTGACTGTAGTTGGGGCACTAATGAGCCAAAATATGAATCAAAACGTGAGTGACTATCGGGGGCGTAATCTAGGCTGACTGTAGTGGGGCCACACAAAAATCCACACACACCAAAACAGAAAACATTAATAACAAACGTGTGGCAACAATAACGGACATATAGATAGGTTCATGGCGCTCCAAGAATGCCGGCCATTGGCCAGCCAGCTGGACACTTCTGCCAGTCGAGCTTTGCATTTCGTGTCTGTTGGCAATTTACTTAAATTGAATAAACGACAATATGAAAATAATAATGCGAACGGTACAATGCACACACCAGTACTTGTATGTATATTGAAGAATGTAGTACGTGGTTGAAAATGTTCGACCGCTAAACAGACTGCAACAACAACACGACAAAAAGTGTTGCGGCATTTCAGGCGCTGGCTCCTGAACCCCGACAGAATTGTGGTTGGGTACGAATATTAAGGAGCTTTAATCGATTTTACTGCCACTTATAAATAAGCTCATTAGCTATTATAAGCTATTATTTGAATATTTGAAAAGTTGTTGTCAACATAGCTGTTGCTGGTGTTATTGTTGTTGTTGCCCTGCTGTTGTCACATATGTATAATTTAATGATGCGTTGTATTGAAACATTGACTTCAATTTAATTATGCATTGACTTTCGCGCCCACATGATTACTAATGCAAGTGCTTTATAATTAATGCGAAGGAAAGAGAAAAAAAATTAAAAGGATAAGAGCTTGGACAGCGGGGCGGTTCATAAATTTTAATTGGTCGGCATGTGTGGACGATCAGACTGGTTGTACACGAGTTCTGACTTAGGGAAATCGGACAACGCTCGCTGAATGCTTTCACTTAATTAAGTCGTGCAGCCGAAGTAGTGTTGGGAGTCGAGGGGTAGGTAAATAAATGTTTTAATGACACCTCTATTTTCAGTAAATATTATCGCCCTATAATACTATACAAGGGTGTGTTACTTCAATAAAATAAAGATAATCAATTTGAATGCAGAAATATTTTGCTTCTCAAATCGTTGTAAATTGAAAGTGGATTCTAAACTAGACTTAGCGAACATAGTTAACATTAGATGAGCAGAATCCTTTTTGTGAGAATTTTTAGACAAATCGACTACTCAGTTCTACTTGTATTTAACATTTTGATAAATCTGAAAAAACTCAGTCTGTAGTGCCCTGCTACTTTCTTAAATTATTTAGTTATACGTATATCGAAGATATATTTAACAGATTAATGAATAGAGCTGGTGCAGTAATCTGTATTAATTATTTGATAGCTAATATTTCAAAATGCTAATATGAAAAGAAAGTGATTCAAAATGAGTGAATGAGTAGTAAAGGAATCAAAAAGATTTTACCTATAAATACTTGCTTGGTATTTCATTTCTAAAAGCTACATATATATTTACTTTAAAGAAATAGTTATTCAACTTTTAGACACAATTAAAAAGTCTTTTTTATTCATTTTGGAATACATTTCTGGAAATAACTTTAGCTTAAGAAAAACTCCCGACAAATTATACAGTTTGAATGAAACTATTTTTTTGTACTTCTAAAAATGTTTAGATTTTTATATAAACGTTCCTAAATTTTCTAAAAGTTTGAGAGCTATCAAACAGTTTTGAGGAATTATGTCCGTTTCTGAGCTAATTCCAAAAAAACGTATAATTTCGGGGAATTTAAAAAAGTCAATGAAATGTCTCGGTTCCTTTCAGACTGACACATCTAGAGTATATCTGAAAAATCTATTATTAATTTTATTAAAAGGAATCAGAAATCATTGGGCTTTTGAGTATGTCTTGTACTTATAATTAATCACTTTTGATAAAACTTTATGCTAAAGAAGAACCTGCTAATTAATATGTGCAATAAGTTAATCATCTTGTGCAATGTGAAGTAATCTCTGATGGAAATATTCCATCAAGCAAATTAGTAGCTTTTATCTTTCAGAAGTTGTTAAGTGCAATACTGTTGAAATAATATTCGAATACAAGCTCCAAGGAAAACAATTTTTAAACAGAATAGTTCAGTTGTTTTTGGGGCGGAGAATATTTATCGATTTACATTATGCCTTACTTCCTTGATTACATGTTTGAGGGAATTATTCCTTCCAATATCTCCTGTATTCTTTGTCTTTTAGACGCATAGACGATATAATAAAGATGGTATAGCTTTTAAAATTTTCTTAGTTTGCTCTAATTTAAAAGAATTCCCTGGTGCTACGTATGTATAGTAGCCAACAAATATAATATTCCAGTTCATTGGCTGCTGGGTACAATAAAATTAATGACTGCGATTAATGGAATATAAAAATAGCTGAAAGTACTAGAACTTACTATAAATTGTGCCTGAACGGAGTATGTAATTATATTAGGCTTTTCCGTGACTAGCACTTTACTGCAATTTCTTTTAATTATAATTACTTTTCACACTTCTTCTCATTAAGGTACAATTAATAATAACATGTCTGAGCTTTTCAGTTTATGTTTCTTGTATGCTAATGTAAAAAGTTTTGAAGAAAGCGCAAGTCATGGGGTAAATCCTATGAGTGTCGCCCATTGAACTGTTTAGCACGTTACCTTTATTGGCTTTCACACATACTTGTACACAGAACCCTCAATGTTCAAGTTCACGGTTTGATTTATGGCTCACGCCAACTCATAAGCCTTCGTCCGAAGGCAGAAAAAAGTAAACAATACCCACAGGACTTCGACAACACGCTACACACAAAACAAGTTCAGAAGGAAAGAAAGAAAAAACATCGATTAAGAAACCGCGTCGCAGGGAGACCTTGGCGCGCAAATTTATAATCCATTAAAAGGCGCTTTTTATTGTGTGGGACAGTGGCGACCCTGGTCCTCTGAGGGTTTTCATGTTAATGACATTTTTACTGTTGTTGACAACAAATTGACACAATTTGTAACGTTTTTCTTAACTTGTCCTCGCAGGCTCACACCTTTTGCTCGCATACACGTGGCACTGATCGAGTGAAGGACAGGAAGAGAGACGCGAACAATTCCAATGGCGGCCAGCGCTGGTGCAGGCAACTGGTCGGGCAGTAGTGGTGGCAGCTGCTCCTCCACAGTCGGCACAGCAGCCCCACAGGAGGAACGTTTGGTGGTAAGCGAATGTGAATTCAATCAATTTTAAAGCGTCTGCAATCATTTGAAATTAAATGAGATATTGAAATGAATAGTTCTCTTCACAATTGTTTTCTTAAGTAACTGAATTTCTCATTAAGAGACGTAATCCATAAACACTTACTGAGTGAATCCTCATTCTGGCTTTCAGGTGGTGGTGCGCGTACGTCCGAGTTTCGAGGCCAGCGAACGCTGCATTGAAGTCATTTCGGGTGGTTCCTTACTCTTTGACGATGGCGGCAAGAGTCGAACCCGTAAATATTCATACGATCATGTTTTTAAGGAGAACGATACACAGGAGCAGGTCTATAAGACAACTACAGCGCCGCTGGTGCGTGATGTTTTGAATGGTTACAATGCTGCGGTCTTCGCTTATGGCGCGACAGGATCAGGAAAGACTCATACAATGCTGGGCCCGGTGCCACGTAAGAGGGGCACGGCGAGCACGCCAGCGCCATCTAATGCGCCCTCAACCGCAGCTGGCTACGAAGCGGACGTAAATAGCCAAGAGATTGGCCTCATGGTTCGTGCCATCGAAGATATATTCCTGCATATCGAAAGCGCCTCTCCGGACAGCGCTTGCAAGGTGTCCATTTCTTATTTGGAAATCTACAATGAACTCATTCGTGACTTGCTCAATCCGGGCGGACCATTGGAGCTGCGTGAGGACAACCGAGGTCAGCGTATAACTGTGGCCGGCCTCTCAGAGATTACTACCTCTAGTCGTAAGGAAGTTGTCTCATTGCTAGTAAAGGGAAACAAGGCGCGGACCATGGAGCCCACTGCTGCGAATCAGACTTCCTCCCGCAGTCATGCTCTTCTCAGCATTACCGTGCAGACCCGCACGCCACTGGGCACCAAGCAGGGACGTCTCTTTCTCACCGATTTGGCAGGCTCGGAGCGAGCCAAAAAGACAAAGAATCGCGGCAAGCGATTGCAGGAAGGTGCACACATCAATCGCAGCTTGTTGGCTCTGGGTAATTGCATCAATGCGCTCTCCGGTGGGGCCCGCTACGTAAACTATCGAGACTCGAAGCTGACACGACTATTGAAGGAGGCGCTTAGTGGCAAGTGCAAGACCGTTATGATTGCGCATGTGGCACCTGAGAGCAAGCATCGCGACGAAACAAAAAACACACTCGTCTATGCGGATCGCGCCAACAGCATTACAACGAAGCTCCAGAACTCGGTCTACATCGATGAGATCAAGGATTTCCCCACCAAGCACTATCAGAGTCTGGTGTCGGAGTTGCGGGACGAGGTGACCCGCCTACGCTCCAAGATGCTGACGGAGCGGCCCCGCAGCGGAGCAGCCGCAACAGCCACCCAGCAGCCGGTCAGCGGGGAGACGGATGAGAAACGCAAGACGGAGCTGCGATACCTAAGAGAGCAGATCGTACTCACATTTAAACAACAAATGAAGCTGAGACGCAAACTTTTGGAGGCCGAGAGTCATTTGTTGGGATTGGAGCTGGATGCGGAACGACAGCACATGATCATCTCACACTGGCAAGGACGCATTGGCAAGCTTTACGACACTCCCGGCGATGATGGTAAGATGAGACACTTTTAAATCACGACGAAGTAAGGGCATATAGGGTTTTTCAGGAAGGTTTGTAACTCAAAGGAAGCAGACCAGATATCCTTTATGCATATCTTCAGCATAACAATAAGCAAGAAGTCATAAAGGACTGTCTCTCGGTCCCACAATCCATATGTACTTTCTGTAGGAATGTTAATAACCTCTTTAAGCTACGGACATTATGTTTGAAGTCTGTGCCTAGTTCTTAATATGAGCTTTGCTATTCAATTTCTACAGATATTGAATCCGAGGGTTCTGTGGCGCTCAAGAATGCCTGGGGAGAGCTGGCGGCCATTGAGAAAGAGAATCGTCGCTACAAGGAGATACGCGAGCGAACTGAACATGAGTTGGAGCTGTGTCGTCAAAAGGGCGTTAAGCTTGAAGATGTAAGTGAATGGAAAGGAAACAATTTTCCCAGATGGCTGATTTCTCTTTTCCCCTACAGGAGCTTCCGGAGCGCATAAGCAGCGATGAGGAGCGCGAGCTGCTTGCTTTGCTCTGTCGTGTGCACGAGCTTGAGGCCGACAAGGTGTCGCTGCAGGCCGAACGTCTGGCCCGCCAGGCCGAGCTACGACGTCGCGATCTGCAGCTTTTACGGGCCGAGCGTCAGCGTCGCCTCTGCGAGGACATTATTAGCTCCCAGCGTCGTCTCATAGAAGAAGGCAATGTGGATCTGCCAGACGAGCTGCGCGAGCTGTATGGCCTGTACCAGCAGGAGATACATGCGGGCGTGGTTACGCCTAGCAACTATGAAAAGAAACTACCGCCCATATATACAGCTGGGTAGGGTACCTAACCAGTATGTGTCGTTGTTCCCATAGCTTATTCACAATTTTTATTTTTTATATATATTTAGTTCTGATTCTCCGGGCTCCAGTTCCAGCTCGGAATGGTCACCGGCCTCTCCGCTGCCCCACATCGAGGGACAGTTGGTGGCTGCAGGCGGTGATCAAATTCTGGTATCAGATGGTCCCGATCGCTTGATGGGTCCGCCGGTGAATCCGCGACTGCCTCGTCTTGCCACCGCCATGCCTGCAGGCAGCCAACGTCGCCCCTCCTTACGTACGGCAAAGCATACGCACACCTAGATTTGGGAAGGTAGGAGCCTAGATGTCTATTTGGTGCGCTCTCTAGTCGAGTTGCTCAGGTATAGTTGTAATCATAATGGTGTGGATTCTCTAGACTAAGCATTTTATTAAAACTTACTTATCTGAATGCTCAAATTGCTCAAAATATTTATTTTACTTTCCATGTATTATATCATATGTGTATCTTAATAAACTTTATCATAAAATAAATGCATAAATAACTTAAAATTAAACACAGCATTTGCAAAGATTTCATTTTTTAAATTCAAAACTGGTGTTTGGTTGCAAGTAGGCACAAGTATACGATTTTTTATGGTATCTTACTTTATTTTAATAAAATAAAATAATTATTATTGATTACATAGCTAATAACAGAATGCATTTGGAATCTTTTTAAGTGCCTTTATTATTCATGGATATTAACAAACGTATCAAAACCAATAATAATACTAATAAAAGTTCTAGGAAATGCGTAATAATCAAATATTATATTGACAACCTGCGAATAAAACGTGGTTTTTGAAAATCTAATATAAATGTTATAAATTCTTATAGCATCTTAATGCATTGTTTTGTCTAATTAATCACCTATGGTGCAATTGAATTTTAGTAAATTATGAAAGTTGTTTTCCTAAAAATACTGGATATGTTCAAAATATGTAACTTATAATTCTTCGTTATAAAATCTATTTCTCTGCGCGGGTAAAAACAAAATACAACAACTGCTGTAACTGTTGTTCATGCGCTCTTTTTTTGTAATTTGTTATTTGCGCTGGTCGCAGGTTGTTGCTGTCAAATTGGGCAATGTATTAAATCAAATTCAAGGAATATCCAACACAAACTGATGCCAATAAAATCAAAATAGCAAATAAATTTCCACTAATTAAAACAACGCACAACATGCTGCATAAATCATAGCAAGACACGGGAACTGTGTAAAGTGCTGAAAGTGAACGCCCACGAATTTTCCGCTGTCGCGCAGTTCTTCAAAAGTAAAAACGAAACTACATGGAATGTCATAACTTAATATAAAACACAAGAAATCATATATCGCTTGCGTTCAATGCCAAATGCTGGCCTCAAAACACAATTCCAATTGTTAGACGACAAGTGGACGGCGAAAATTAGGAAAACAACAACATCTATAAGGCGTACGGTAAGAGAGAGAGAGAGAGTGAAAAGTGCCGTGCATGTGCAAGCCTATAAACACACGCATACGAGTTTGTGTGTGTGTGAGTGCGAGCGCATGTGTGAGTTTTGTGTGAAGAGGTAAACAAACAAAGCAGTGGCGTAGTTGTGTGTAGTGTCGTTACCAATTGCGGGGAACAAAGTTACCTCGTTGGGCCAAAAACTGCACTCTTTTGAAAAATGTATAGTAAGTAGTTCAAAGGGTAGATGTGATAAATTCAAATACATAGAACAAGTTTGATGTGACATGTAAATTGTGAGCTGAAATGGGTATTCAATATTGTCCAAGATAGTAAAACAAATCTCATATCAATTGCCCTTCTCTGTTTTTTTAAAAAAAATTATTCCTTTCTGCGTCATCAGACTTAACTGTGTTATGAACAAACTTCTGAATATAATATTTGAATCCGTTAAGCACTATTATTTTCCTTCTCAGTACTGAAATGGGTATTCAATATTGTCCAAGATAGTAAAACAAATCTCATATCAATTGTCCTTCTCTGTTTCAAAAAATATAACTGTGTTGTGAACAAACTTCTCAATATAATATTTGAATCCGTTAAGCACTAGTATTTTCCTTCTCAGTACTGAAATGGGTATTCAATATTGTCCAAGATAGTAAAACAAATCTCATATCAATTGTCCTTCTCTGTTTCAAAAAATATAACTGTGTTGTGAACAAACTTCTCAATATAATATTTGAATCCGTTAAGCACTAGTATTTTCCTTCTCAGTACTGAAATGGGTATTCAATATTGTCCAAGATAGTAAAACAAAACTCATATCAATTGTCCTTCTCTGTTTCAAAAAATATAACTGTGTTATGAACTAGTTCTCAATATAATATTTGAATCCGTTAAGCACTATTATTTTCCTTCTCAGTACTGATCTCTACTGCGGCATCTAAATATATTAAACAAACTGTGCAACATAAGTTGAACAAATTTCTGAATATCAGACCTGGTTTCTATTTCTTCATACACATAAAAGTTGATCACGTTGCCTTTTTTAAGCCTGGTCGTTACCATGGAAGATATATGTATAGATATTATTTAGTTCCTTTTAATAAGCGAAACAAAGTCCGATCCGTCTGCTTTCGACAAATGATCTGCTTGCAAGAATTTGAAACTTAAATACGACATATCATTATTTAGGTACAAACATTCTTTTCGGGGTAACTAACATCCCCTATACCCTTTGCAAGTGTATAACCAAGGCTTTAAAAATTGTATGTGTGTACGCCATTGAAGCATAAAAAATGTTCAACCTTATTGCCATGGCAGCAGAGCTTCGATAGCTTGGTTGGACAAACAGAAAAGATCTATTAGAGCATGGAAGTGTTTAGGGCTTAAATTATTTATGAATGGATGTACCCGTTAAATATGAAATAGAAAATATAAATGGAATTAACATCTTATATATTAATTTTTTACATAGCTGACGCTATTTTGCATGTCTCTAAATAATTATATAGAAAATAGAAAACGGTAAGAGCTTTAAAAAAACGTGATTAGGGTTACTTACCAAACTATAAGAACTGTCGAGAGCTTTACTTTTCTTGGTTTTAGGCGAGCCTGTGTCATCAGTCAGTTTAATAATAGAAGCTAAGCAAACAGCATTAATGCGACACATTGATGAAAGGCTGTAGTTAGTGTGACAGAACAGTTTCTGAAGCAGAAGCGCTTAAATATCGACAGGAAAAATACTTCCTTTTCGTCCACATTCAAAATTATGAACTAAATTCAAAATTGTTTATCGCAGGTAAACGTTTGAAAAGAGGCTTGACGCGCTGCAGTTGCCGAAATCCTACGCACCATGATGATGCATGAAGAGCAGTCCGCCTTTGAATCCATGCTCGCACGCTCATTGCCATTATCGTGCGCTGGTCCACCACCACGACCACGCACCCACTTCGAGGATCTTCCCAATGATTTGTGGTTCTGCATCATGTGCTATTTGCCGTACACGGATCTCCTGCAACTGCGCTTGGTCTGCAAGCGCTGGCGGGATCTGGTGAATCGACCGTACTTCATGTCCAGAGGCAAGGTTATCGTTACGGAGCGTAATCTGCATGCGATGAAGCAGCATGTGGAGCGTGGAGACTCGAACATACGTTTCGATTGCGTGGAGCTGCGAAATTTGCGTCACAGCGAGGAGTTGGAGCAGTTCTTGCGACTTGTGGGACCAGAGGTGGGTCACTTACAGGTGCGCCATGCACCCGTTTTCAGAACTTTGGATGGCACGATGCCAAATCTAAAGATATTGGCCATCGCAACCACCAGTTTCATGGATGAGCTGCTGCTCCAGCCGGTGGAGGGCATTAATCTGCGACAATTCGTCCATCTGCACAGCTTTGAGTGCGATGGCGTCAGCCTGGACTCATCGCAAAAGCTGCTGATGTTGCAGCAACTGCGGCATGTGGAGAACAAAGTGCGTCTGCGGCATCTGCAATTCGAGTATCGCACCAATAGTGAGGCGGCTCTGCTTGAGGTGCTGAGCGATCATGCTGGATCACTGGAATATTTGGATATTTTCTTCAGTTGCTCACCGGATAGGTTGACCGGCAAGTGGCGTGTGGTTTTCGAGAAACTGCAACGGGTGCACACCTTGAAGCTATCAGGCAACTGCCATCACGATCTGCTCGAGGCCATTGTGGAGGCGTTGCCGGCAGCCACACCGCTCCGTCATCTCGACTTGACGGGAATGCTGTCGCTAACAAATGACCTGCTTATGCTGATTGCCTGCAAGTGGAAGAGCACGTTAAGGGTATTGGATCTGATGTTTTGTGTGCAGCTGGACGGTCGTTGTGTGCAGGCGCTGCAACATTTGAGTGGCAGCCTGAAGGTGCTAACCATGGCCTATTGCCGTGAGTTGACTGGCCGGGGCTTGCTGGATGGCTTGGCGCTTAAGCCCAACTATACACTACAGGAATTGCATTTGGAGGAGGTTTGCTTTATAGATGAGGAATCGATTTGCACGCTGGTTGAGCGCCTGCCAAATTTACGCAGACTGGGTCTCGACAATTGCCGCCATGCCGTCACAAACCGCACCTTAGCCGCCATTTTCCAGCATCAGACCAAGCTGCAGGAGCTGAACATCGACTACTGCGTACGCGTCACGGACGCTGGACTTGTTGGATTTGGCCCAAAACGCTATCCCATCAGCAATTTGCGTGGCCTGCGAGCCCTCAACATGCGCGGCTGCCACAACCTGACGAATCGAGTGCTGATGGATGCACTGCGTCTGCCTGAGCTGCGCAGCCTCTCAGTCGGCTATTGCAATCGTTTCGAGGCGGAAGGCATTGCTGCCTTCACCATTAACTGCCCGGCTGTGGAGAAACTCTGCCTGGCCAGCTGCCACCAAGTCGACGACCGTGCGGTCGAATCCATACTACAAAATCTGAGGCGCTTGCGCAGCCTCAATGTGAGCAACTGCCCAAAAATCACACTGCATAGCGTTTATCAGATAGCCAGACATGGCGAGAATCTGCTGGAGTTCACGGCCTGCGGCATTGATGGACTCGACTCGAGTGCGGTCAAGCTCATCCTGCAGCGGGAGCGGCCACAGCTGAAACAGGTGCTTCTATAGCAGGAGCGTTTTATTTACTAGACCCGACTAACATCGAGTGACAGTACGAGTGTAAATGAGTTGTGACTGCATCGCTTTTCTTTGTTTTTGGAAGCTGTACAAATTAATTTTAGGCATGGGCGGGAAGGAGGTGGTCGGTCTCCATATTCATTAAACGCATCTCAGTGAAATCTAATGATTAACATTAAGTATTTTAAGTACTCTATCTGTATAGTTGCTGTTGAGCACAATTGAAGGCTATTTAAGTTAAATTGTGGGGTGATATTTAAACTTACTACCAACCCTTAGTTTAAGAGTAAAATAACGAAAGCCAAAAATACGATATACCTCAAAATAAAAGCAACAGAACATGTCAAACTTTTATTGTCAAATACAAATGATTATTGTGTAATAATTTCTTATAGAAAAGTACTTACTAAGGACAACAAAATGTAACATAGCCCAGTGGTATGCTATTAAAATATACTACTAAAACAATATTATCTAACAATATTAGTGCTACAAATGATTGACAAAAAAAGAAAGATTTTTCATGGTATATCTCAACATTTTTCAGCATTCATACAAAATAACTTGTTATTTTAAAAATAAAAGAAAACTTTTTATAAAGACTAAACTAATATGTTTTAATATTTGATAGTTACTAAGAAAAACTTCCAGAAGCTAGTTATAGAAATATTCAAAATATTGGTTACAAAATAAAACAGTCCAAGATTTATCTAATGATGGTGCCAATCTATTCTTTGAACGGATATTTGTTTTTTTTTTTGGGAAATGCGTAAATACTTTGTTAAATGGATATGTCTCATATATATGATATATAATATGTACATATGTATGTTCTGCCATCTTGCCAAGATTTGGCTTCGCTCCTCAATCCGGCCAAAGGCACCGTTCCATTAAAGTATTGCTCTCCAGAGACAAGATCGTTTCTTAGCTCTAGAATGTGGCAAAGGATTTGCTATGTTTTAATTCTAAGAAGTTATTTTATATAATTTACAATCGATAAGATTGGAGGAAACATCAATCTATCGATGACACATGTACGAAAGTGGTTCTGCTTTGGATATTAATTTAATAGTACTTATATATACTTAATATTTTCAGTTGATTTTTAAATTAAAAAGTTTGAACACAATTGATTTTTATTATTTATGGCATTGCTAAATCCTCCCTTTTTGGGATGTACGTGTGATTATTATTATTGTTACCTTTCAAAGAAAAAAAAAACAAATGGCGGGAATTATGAGGCTTTTTGCAACGTTTGATTTAAAATTTAAAATTTGTTTGATTTATGAAATCAAGAATAGTTGGAATTGCACATTTTCGTCAAATTATCTCTCGGATAATGCAGGGTTGGGTAGTCCTGGAACTCATCGTGTATTTATGTAAGAATAGGTATTTTAAATTTGCGCAAATATTTTCGGATTAACTTGGTAATATTATTTGAATGAAAATAAATGTGAATTTAAAAAATTTGAAAGTCACAACATAACTATGGCAATAATAATACTAGTAATAATAAAGTGCGGAATCGAAAAATGTTTTATTATTTAAATAAAAGTTGAAATTCCTGATTAGTTTAATTATATTTTCGTGCTTAAATATTTAAATACAAATTTAGCAGCAGGTTGGCGAAATGTCTGATAAATCGCCCGTCAAATGTGAATACAGTATCCATTGATAGAAAACGTATGTTATCTGGTAACACGAATCGCATTATCTATTCTTTCTTTTTATACCCTGTACCCGTAGAGTAAAAAGGGTATATTAGGTTTGTGCAAAGTATGTAACATAAAGTATATATATTCTGAATCAGCATGACGAGAGAAATCGATCTACACCTGTCCGTCCGTCTGGATGAACGCAAGGATCTCAGAAACTATAAAAGCTAAACAACCAAAGTTGGTATCCAGATTCTCCTAGGTCCGAGAAAGGACGGAAGGATTTTATTTTTTTTCCCCAGCTACAGAATTTTGTCAATAGCGTCCACATTTGAAATGCTACCTAAACCAAACTTTGCACACATAATTTATATATAATTATCTACTGTTGTTTAAATCCAATTAATTTATCCAATTCGGTCAATTCTAAGAAACGTTATTAGCGAAACAAATTCTCGCCAGTACAACCCCCCCAATCAGCAAGTTCGCTCTTCTTCATATAATATAACTCAGTGCCGGAAGTTTACCTGGGTACAGGGTATTACACTGTCGGGCTTGCTCGACTGTAGCGTTCTCTCTTGTTTTTTTTTGTCAACGTTTCGGACAGTGTAAATAGATTTCAAGGGTAATTATTCCATGTACATATGTTCATATGTATTACATATGTATATGTATATGTGGCCTTCATATTTCAAAATAATTAAAGTGCTGCTTCTTCGGCGAAATTAAAAAATGTTGTGCCACGTGCAAATATTTGCAAACATTTTATCGATCGCACATATTCGTGTGTTAAATGGTTCTTTCTCGGTGGGTTTGTGGGTTGTTATTGACAGCCGTTTGATTGATGTGTGTACCAAGTAAGGATACGGTCGAAAACCTTTTAACTTTTTGCTATTTTTTGAAGAGGAGGCAGAGGTCTCGCCGTTGATTGGTAGTTTTCAGTCTCAGTCAGAGTCTCATATGCAATTTATTTTATAGCACCCATTATGGCAAAGCGCAATTGCACTTTTCACATTTATAGCAAGACACATTTATAGCAAGACCCACACACAGAGCTACAATGCTAAAAATAAAATATCATAATCATTTGGCAATTTCGCATGCTGCCAAAGCTTTTATAAACAAACAAACAAAATTGACGGAAAAAACACAAGAGTGCCGGTTTTCTTCTCTTCTTCGTCATATTTCCACCTTCAATGCCAGTTTTCTCATGGGGGTGGGGGTCCCAGTGCTGTGAGGTAAGCTTTTTTCCCGCCAGTTCTGCAGTTTTTCAAGTGCCTATTGCGTGAAATATTGTTAATATATGCTTGGTGGGCTGTTTAGTAAAATCAATCTTTCTATTAACGGCTTTATAAAAGAATAATAATTATTATTAAATAAAATTTTAATAATTACAATAATACCTATTTGACAATTGAAATTCTCCATAATTGGAGAATTAGCGCAGTTTTCTTCAGAACTTCCAACTTTGTTAGCAAACCCTAAGCGCCAAGCAGCCGAATGAAATATACATATAATCTTGATAATTAAAGGATTTATTTATGTAATTAAATGAAAAACCTTTTAAATTTATCATTTAAATATGAGACAAAGTACAAGTGTAATTATGAACCCGCTTTAAATTAGAGTATTGCTTACAAATTTATATTCCACGAATGAATTGTACCCGAAAAAAGTCTTAACGCTAAAAGCATGTCCCCAGCTTGACACTTGTGCCTTCGTCCGTCCATCCGTCCATCTGTCCATATGAGCTCCGACTACTTTTGAACCATAGCAGCTAGGAACACCAAACTTAGTTTGCAGATTTGCTTCATCCATACGCAGAGAAATATTATAACAAAAAATAAATGCCATTTATTTTTGAGATATATCAAGAAAATGTGGAATTTAATAAAAAAAAATTAATGAACCCTTTGTTTGGAACAATCTCCGGTATGCATACTATTTTTCTTATTCAATAGAAAAGTGAAAATAAAAAAATATATTCTTTTTGAATCACTTTTAAAACTTTTCTTTTGTAACCCTTAGAGTCTTCCAAAATTAACACTTGATATTTTGTTGGAAAGACTGGAATGCCAACTGCAGATATCTAGAAAAATTTGGATAGATTCGCACTTCTTTTTTATTTTCGATTGGTTTGTGGGTATACGCACAAAATATGCTGTTCATTGAACTAGTAGTGCTGGGAGTAAATACACCAAAAAGGCGAAGAAACAGAATAAATTTATAAAGTAAAGACGCAATCAGTAAGTTCGCTTTAATTATTAATTATTTTGATGAACAACATTTTTGGGAAATTGTGTTAGTTTTATTTTTAGCAGGTGGAAGAAAACATTGCTCGGTCGAGAAGAGAAATCTGAAAGACAGCTTAAAAAATTGTGGCAAAACATATAAAGAGATTTAAAATTTAGTTGTATATTAAATATTAAGTGTCTGTTGCATTTATGCAACAAATATGCTGGGGGTGATCATATAATTAAATTCTTTATAAGTAAAGATCTTTGTGAAATAAAACGAATATAAAAAAGTGTAGTAAATGTAATTAAAATCCTTTGAATGTTTTCTCATGAAATATTAAAAAAACTTTACTTTACTCTTCACTATCATTCTGATGACTACTTGTATTTTGGCCTTTCTAGCTTTTTGCAATTGCGCAGAATTGACAACACTGGTGGGACCATGATGTGTAGGTGTGTGTGTGTGTGTGTGTGTGTGTGTGTGTGTGTGTGTGTGTGTGTGTGTGTGTGAGAGAGTGTGCGAGCAGCGATTTCAAAAACAGCGCACGCACTTTGACACCAACACTACCAGCAGGAGCAGGAGCAGGAGCAGCACCAGCAGCGAATGGGTGACACAGACGTGGGTGCGTCAGAAAATTGGGCTAGTAGTTGTGGGCGGGGGAGGGTGGTGCATGGTGGTGCATGCAGTTAGTGTGGTGCTTAACAAAATAAAATAAATGAATGAAAATATGGCAGGGCACACAAAATATCACTCGTCGCGGGCAGAAGCACTGCGACTGACAAAACGCATGAAGCTTAACTTTCTGCCTGTGTTGGTGTCAATGGACTATGGGATGTGAAACAGATGTTGTTTCCCAAAAGGTAAAGCTTCGTTAAAATGAAAAAGAATTGGGCCGTTCATTCTAAAATCTGAGGTCAGATTCTATTAGTATTATTTTCGATGTAAACAATTTCTCGATACTTGCAATTTATTCACGCTAATATTTATTGTGTCGTAAATATAAGTACAAAGCAAGGTATGGCTATTTTCCATTTTTTCTTGCCCATGAAGAAACTCATTATGTGCCTCAAACACTGAACATTAATACTCTACAGTTTTGGCTATCATATCATGTTAACAAATTCGAAATACACTATTCCACAGTATTTTAGATCTTAAACACTTGACATTTATTTGTTATTTAAAAATGCTGTAAAGCAAAAGCTGAAAATTTCAAGTACGAACATTCCTTATTGTATGTATTTTCTGTTGTTGAATAAAGTGTCCAATCTGACGGACAGCACATTTTTAAAGTACATTGAGGCTCTAAACATTAAAAATAACTATCAAAGAACTTAAAAAAATACACCTAATTCTGTTTAAAGATACACCTAATTCTGTTTTTACACGGTTTGAAAATATAAATGTTATATACGGTTACACGACTTTATTCCATTTAGCGCGATTCATTTTGAATATGATCAATATCTTATTTTACACGGAACCAATCTACCTTGTAAAAACAGAATTAGGTGTACTATATTTTTATAAAAAAGTACAAAAAATATTTTTAAGCACATGTTTACATTACTTTTTAACTTTATATTTAAAAATTTATCAGTTATCGATAAGAAATAAACATTTTACATAGACACGCTCTATAAGAACAAAATAATTATTTGTCTAATTTTGGAAACACATTTTATAAATGACTATGCGATGAAGAAGAAATAAAAATTCTTTTATAACTAGAAAAACTCTCTATGAATCTAAGAATAAAAACTGTTCTTGAAATTTGTTAAAAAATGTTCTTTAATGATTATAACACTAATTAATGGAATCATGAAAAACACCTGTGATGGTAAAAATTTATTAAACATTATTAGAGGCTGCTTCTGAAGAAATTGATGTTTGAATTGCTAGATTCAGATTCATATTCCGATTCAGATTCAGATTTTCAGGCGAATTAATATCCCATTGTGCAGTTCGATGTGGTGTTTTGTGTGTAGAGTGATGGGGCGAGGTGGTGGGCTATTTGTTTTTGTTGTCATTCGTGTTTGTGTTTTCCTTGGCGATGGGCTGGCGTCAAAACTAAATATGTATGAAATATTGTGGCCAAAATACAAGCTCACATGTGCGCGTTCCAGCACACATGCTACATACATATGTATGTACGTACTCCATACTATTTGGATTTTTATTGGTATGTGTGTGTAGTTGGCGTCTCAGTACAGACGTTGACGCTGACTTTGACGCTGACGTTGACGGTGACGCTGACGCTCGGTTGCACAGTTAATTCAGATACAAATCTGAATGAAATGTCGCCGCTGCTTATCAGATAAGTTCGGAACGCGCTGGCGTGCGGTTCGCATTCGTTGCACGTTGATGTTTGGAGCTGAAAAAAGGCACGACTACGGGTCATTTAACGGGACTGCCGAGAGAGTGTTTATGTGTGTGTGTGTGTGTGTTGTATGTGTGTGTGCGTTGTGCATTAAATCATCGCCTGGGCACTTGATTACATGTATTTGTAGTTAGAGAGATGCGTCTTTATGGCCGGACAACGACACCGCTGCCGCTTGACTTTAAAACGAGATAAACGTGTAGCCAGGTGCTTCATTGGGGGGCGGTCGTTCGGTCGGTCGGTCGGACGGTCGTTCTATCTGTCGGTTGGTCGGCGGGCGCGCGTTCGCGATTTTGGGCGCTCGGCCTTCATGACAATTTGTTTGTTATTGTTGAGTGTGTGTTGCGTGCCGCTTGCAAGTTAAGAAAACGCCACATAGTCGAGTCGAGCTGATTCGAGTTAAGTTGAGTTGAGCTGAGACGAGTCGCAGTTCTTATTGTTGTTATTGTTGCTAAATCGAATTATTATAATTAGCATAGAGAGACATACCAAGCTAAGCGACAGACGGCGCGCGATTGTTGCTACATGTGTGTGTTTGTGTGTCCAAATGTATATTAGAATTGATTAAATTGTGGAAAGTTTAACACACAAAAATAGAAACGCCGCTAAAGCAAAGAACAAAGAAAAGAAAAAGAAAAGCCGAGGCAAGACAGTGAGTGCACATCAAAAATGTCGTTCAATTCAAGCAGCAGCAGCAGCAGTGGCATCAGCAGCATCAGCGACAATAATGAGAGCGAATGGACAGCTAGCCAAGTGTTTGGGCCTCCGCGCGATGCTCTGGCCATTGTGATACCCGTTACCGTTATCTATAGCCTGATCTTTCTCACCGGCGTTGTGGGGAACATCAGCACCTGTATTGTGATAAAAAAGAATCGTTCGATGCACACAGCCACCAACTATTATCTCTTCTCGCTGGCCATATCGGACTTCATGCTGTTGTTGTCGGGTGTGCCCCAAGAGATGTACTTCATCTGGTCCAAGTATCCGTACGTCTTTGGGGAGTATTTCTGTGTGGTGCGCGGCTTGCTCGCCGAGACCTCGGCCAATGCCACAGTCCTCACCATCACGGCCTTCACAGTGGAGCGATATGTGGCCATTTGTCACCCGTTTCTGGGCCAGGCGATGAGCAAACTTAGTCGCGCCATACGCATCATCATACTAGTTTGGTTGCTGGCCGTGCTCACCGCCATTCCCCAAGCCGCTCAATTTGGCATTGTAAACTACGCGGATGTGGATAAGTGCGCCGTGGTCCGCGTCATCATCGAGCATTCGTTCCAGCTCTCCACATTCATTTTCTTCTTTGCACCCATGAGCATTATATTGGTGCTATACCTGCTCATTGGACTGCATCTGTATCGTTCGAGTGCAATTGGCGGTGCGGCAGGATCGACTTCAGCGACCAAGAGCGAACATTTCCGGCGACTTGGTGAACTGAAGGGTGTCCAGAGCGATACTATTTTGCACCGGCATGCGGGCAATGGCGGCCCACAGCTCAGCTCCGTGCGTGGCCGACTCAATCATTATGGCACGCGACGTGTGCTCAAGATGTTGGGTAAGTTTTTTAAAGGCAAGAAAACAATAATAAAAAGATTTGCCAAAATGTCAGCCTGACTTTTCTCAGTTTCGATCTAAATAATGTGCGAATTGACAGCACCTTGATGTCAATTCTTGTCTTTATAAAACAATTAGTGATACACGCTTAACAACAAAATCGTGAACGGCTCGTCTCCTATACACATATACTTATACATACATATACAAAATATTATGTGTATATAGAATATAAACAAACAACTCGGTGTGTGAATATTATCATTCATTTAAGGCGTACTAGCTGGAGAGTTGCGCGCGAGAACCGATCGTAGGAGCCAGAGTTCGTGATCTAGTGAATGCGAAGGAGTCCAAAACTTTCCACTCATTTTGTGATTAAACATACTCGTGATATGCAACGAAAATATTTTTGATTTATTCGATTGTGAAGATGTTCGAATAATGCAAGAGACTACGATATGAAAGGCTCTCTTTATTTTTTGCTAACTGCTCGTAATCATAAATTTTAATTTACATTTTAGAAACTCTTTCTCTGAACGGAATGAGTTGCGGGCGAATTGGGGGCTTGTGGCTCGACTATTTGCATATCAACTCGCGTGGTAGTTCATTTATTTATTTATTAAATTATTATATATCAAGTAGATAGAATAAGAACATTATTTTCCAGACAATACGCTTTGTACGCTTAATATACTGTGTGAAATAATATGTTGCAAAATCTGCGAGTCAGGCATTTGTTGAAGAAATGGTTACACTGTTTGAAATCTAAAATAACTTTAGATCTGTTTTGAAAGATGCTAGAAACATTACAAGGGCAACTATATTAAATATTAAAAAGTTAATTTTGATTCGGGTTTGGAGTCACATAATAAGCATGAAGTTGTAATGCATTTGAATCAAGAAAACTGCCATTGAACTAGGCGATTTGAAAACTTTTCAATTTACTTGAAATAAATACAAATGCAAATTTGTGTATCTTACAAATTGGCACTGAAGAGTAAATTGGAAAGAAGTTTGTCGTAGTAAAACATATCTTTTTATAAGTTTTCATTAAAATATCAATACTCGCAAAATTCAAATTGCAAGTATTTTAAAATTTAATACAAGAAAGAAGCACCTTCTGACATAAGTAAGTAAGGCAATATACTTATTATTATGATAGTTATTAAAGCTAACTTAGCAGCCATTTGAAATCGTAATCATCTAGATTTTTCTGTGTTGAAATTTATTTAATTGCTTGTCATTTTTTTTGATAATTCAAAATGCCCCAAAATTTGTTTGTCAAATAAATAATAAATTAATAAAAAACAATGAATTGTGACACTATAATGTTAATGAAACAGGTTGTGCAAAAGATTCTTAAAAGTCCAACAGCAAGTTCAGATCAGTAAGATTTCCAATCGTTCTACATCTACAACAAATAAAGTAAAAGGGCATAAATAAATCAATTAAATGGTAAATAAAGTTCCCTAACAAGTGGAGTTTTCGTTACTCTTTAAGTGACAGTGACAGGTCGGGAGAGTTCAGAATTTCCATTATAGCTACTATACGTGTAGAACTATCGCAAGGATCCAAGCCCGCACATAAACAATTGTTTATGCCTGCGCAATGACATCGCAAAATGTAACTTTAAGAAACAATTGAATATAACGCTGTCACAGTTGAATAATTCTATATTATATTGATGACTTAAAACCGAATGATGGCGAGACTTGATAAACGCGTTGCTGTTCCATTATATATACGAGTATATATATGTACGAGTATGTACAATAATTTGTTTATAACTTCACAGACATTCCACACACACACACTCCGTGTAACAAACTTTGCTCTGAAGATGATTTCCGATGAGTAATCCAACTCGTTTTTCTACTCACGACCTTGAGGCGGCAAAAAGCACCGATTTTTAACAAAAAGGTCAACAAAACAAATAGATATGGTCTGAAAAATGTTTAAAGAATAACATTAACTTCGAGTTATAACTTGGAAGGGTAATTATGATTTAGATGTGATTGTATGAAGTGACGGTAAAGCTTTTAATGTGTTGGCTTTAATTACCAATTATCAGATTGTATCGCAAATATTTCAAGGCATTCAATTGTCCAATTCAAAAGCATATCAAACTTGTTGTACATATGTACATGATATGTACAAGTATATGAAAATATCTTATTTTAGGTAACGTTATATTCTTTTGAATGGCTTGAAGCATGCATCAAAAATTGCTCAAATATTAGATACCAATTAAAATCTGTAGGAGTAGGGGAACGTTCTTAGCTCCAATGATTTGTTTACTGCTTTGCGAAAAACCATTGTTTGGGGAACTTCGTACACATTGCTTCCACCCTTCAGTTTGATGACAATTTGCTTTTGTCTTTATTTTTTTATTATCCTTATGCAAAGTGAGACGAAGTTGGAGGCCGTGGCAACTGCTGTGCTACTAATTGGCATCCTGGCCATATGTTAACGCGCGGTCTGGTACACCATTTAATCAGTCCGTCGCGTCAATTTATCGCTCTTGTCTGTTTGTCATTCGCTGACTTTTATGGCAACTTTTAGCATTAAGTGCGCCCGAAAATAGATATGCTTTATCGCCAACACACTCCATCCACTCTCACTGTCTCACACCCAAATTCTCCCTTTATCTGTATATTATATATAGTTGCCGTTGTCATCTGCTTCTTTCTGTGCTGGGCCCCATTCCATGCACAGCGTCTGATTGCCATTTATGGACCGGATCTGGAGGCTGAGATGGGCGCACACGATCAGCACAAGTTTGTGTACACCGTGATGACCTATATATCGGGGGTACTGTATTATTTATCAACCTGTATTAATCCACTGCTCTACAATCTGATGAGCAACAAGTTCCGTGAGGCCTTTAAGGTGAGTAGAAGTTGAAATAAATCGTTTAAATTTATAGTTTTTTTTTCATTTTATTGTAGGCCGTGCTCTTTGGAAAGAAGTCGTTGACGGGTTCGTTGAACTCTCGGCATTATTTGGAGTCGCGTCGGCTGCGACGCACCACAACACTAACCTCATCCACCCAGCGGGCCTCCATAGAGTCCGCAGAGCTACAATCTAAGCAGGCCATGCTCCAGGTTAGTCAAGCACTTTCCACTAGTTTGTCCACAAATTTTCGTATTCTAAGACTTACTTGTATTTCTCTCCACCACAGACCGCTCTGAACGATCGCCTGCTGCAGTGCAAGCCCCAAATAGTTTCGTAATTTGTTATAAACGATGCAGTCAATAATTATACTATATATACGTATGTGTACTTGTATGATAGCATGAGCATTTCTGTTTGTATTTGTACATTCTATCTTTTCATATTTATCACTAGCTGCAAAGTTGGCTTTACTTGCTGTAGCTAATTGTAAGATACACGACAACTCTCTGCTTCCTAATGTTAATTTAATGTATTTTAATTTCGCTCACTTTTGTTTATATTATCAACCGGCTGTATTTTTTTTTGCTCTCGCTCTCGCGTTTAAGTAATTGTTGTTGTTATTTGGTTATAAGCGTTTTCTTTTTGTACTCTTATTTTCTAATGCGGTCAGCGGAACAAGTTTGTCGCAGGCTACAATTAAAGTTAATATTATTTAAACGCATTCTATGTAGGTAGTGCTCTCTAATCTGCTGGTAATGTGAACACCTTCACTTGCCGTGCTAAATAGTATTATTCGCAATAGCTATAAACACTATGTTTACAATTAGTTCATTCATAAAAATCCAATTATATAAACTAGTCTATAAAGTTGTTGACACGTGCTAGGCACACATGCATGAGTATTCTGTATAAATACGAGTATGTACATACCACAAACATTTATTGCCCAACCTCCTATATACTTGTAAAACCTAAATGTGTTAAATTAATTGAAACAATATATGTATACACACACTTAAATATATACAAATATGTACATGAACATGAATGTGTGCTGCTTGTAAACAGAAACAAAAACATGCATTGTACTCTCAGTCTGTAGATTATCCGGTTATTAAGGTATAAAAAATGCAAATTAACAAATTAAGATAATTAGTACCCTTAGTGCATATATTTCGGTCAACTGAGTACATAATGGTGTTGGCCGAAATGTCAAAGACCTCGTAACAAAAAGGGGTGTTCATTTAATTAATTATCTACACTCTTTCAAATGAGTGTATTACAGACGATTATTTTGGACTCTCAGCTCAGAAACATGCTTAGTACTTAAATTCTCATCATAAGAGCAGAATGATCAAAGCAAATGTATTATCTAGAATATTAAATGCCTAAGATGCAATACCTAAACCACTTATGTCATTAGTTTTCAATCTGACTGCGATCGTATGCTTAAGAATTGGCATTCCTCAGACACACACACTATCTCTCTCTTACTCTCTATCTCTCTCTTTATCTTTAATAAACTCTAATTTAAATTTAAAAGTGAAAGTAAACTTCAAATAAAGCTGAAAAGCATTCTCAGTAAAATTCATCTTATACGTGTATACAAAATACAAATAAATTTCAAACTACAAATAAATAAAACAAAAATCATAAAATACTGGTGAAAAAGTCCACTTCTTTGAAATTAAATCTTGTGCTTAACAAGTTTCATGAAAACACTGTGTTTTCAAAATTTTTAATAAACATATTTATTATTATGGTCTTCAAATTAGTCATCATTAGTGCATATATGTATTTATATTCAACCGTTTGATCCAATTATGCTATAACATTTTTAATTACTTTTTCGAATATTAACTTTTTGGTTATTTTTTTGACTTGTTGCTAATTAATACGATATTAAAGTTTATATTAAAGTTATATAAATAAAATAAATAAAATAAATTCACATTTCGCCACGTAAATTGTTGCCCAAAACTTTGTGTAACCAATTGTGTGTGTTCGAACCTAATAAGATGTCAAAGCTTGTAGCAATCTCACGAATACAGCCAGTATTCTCACGTCTTCTATTTAAAAAATGTTTTTTCCATTATCCATTATCAAAGAGCACATTTTTTCGAATAACAACACTATACACAATACTTTTTCATTCCGGAACCTTTCCCATATATTGTATTGGGAGCCATAGCTCAAGACTATATATGATATGATCGCGATCAGATTGAAGTGAAATGCTGCTACATTGCTTTTTTTTATTGCATTACTTATTAGCTAACCAGCTCTTATCTATTTACAATTCGATATGTTAATTTTACACGAAAATCTACAAAAATGGTTCATTCGGAGACACTTGGTGAGAATTAAGTTTCTTTGACCCTTCAACATTTAGTCCTGAAATGTGTGAACATAAAACTAAAATTAATGCATATATAGAAAAAATAGTAGTTACAGTGATAAAAGTAAATGTTAGTAATTAAAAATGAATAACTAGTAGAATATTTTAAATTTGCGACACCCTCGGAGAATAAAATATAATTATTTGTACAATAGAAGGTCCGATTCGGAATTTAAATCTAAAAAGACGTGTATAAGAAAGACTTAAAAAATGGCTGCATGTCGATTATAATCAAGTTGAAAGTAAATTATGCTCTAAGAAGCATAAATGTTTGTCAATCCCACTTGAAATACCAGTTAGAGCAAATATAATTGAAGCAAACATTGTATTAAACCTACTACTCGTACTGTCTGTTCACATTTACGTGAACTTATGAATAAATTGATGTCTACACATTAAATAAAATACAAAAAACGTCCAGTTTTCATGCCTATTTGAACATTCGGACTCTGCAACAACTGCTAAGGATTCGTTTTTAGCTATTTTGGGCATCCAGTGGAATGGCAGTGGCAGAGACAGTGCCAGAGATAGAGCCACTTAAATTCCAATTTAGGTTCATAGAAATGCGCATAAACAAAATTATATCGATTTATTATACAAACTACATGTGCGAATGACTGCCACACAACTGGCTGGTGAAATGAATGAATGAAGGAATGAATGAATGGTAATGATTTGGCCAAGGTCATGATAAAAATGCAAGGCGACGACCAATGTGGCGTATGAGCAATGCGGTGCGAGCAAGTGCGTTGCAATGAAAGGGGCGGCTGGGGATAACCCAAAAGTAAATTTGTTTTGAAAATGCAATCAACGAAATGGAAAGTGGTCGTCGCCGACGTCCTCCCAAAACAAAGTAGTTAAATAACAACAACGAAAGAAGAGTAATAATGTCAACGATGTTTGTTTATGATGTGCGCTCGATTTGCATTTGACTTCGTTGTTGTTGCTGTTGCTGTTGTTGCTCTACAAGTATACCCATCCGTCAAGGGTAGTCTGCGGCTTATGAACAATTTGCAGTTGGCCGCAGCAAAGTTATATATGCCCGGGATATTCAAGTTGAAGCTTTTCGACTGTTAGCCTCTGCTCATAAATATGCTATTAATGCGTCATTTATTAAAAATGTTTTTGGAAAGCGCAGCATGCGTCAATATCATTAGTACGTACAACAAAATAAATACATGTGTGCGTCTAAATTAGAGGTGTACGTAAAAGTTAATAAAGCACGTGAGTTCCGTGAGCATGACAAAAGAAGATAAATTCCTAAAAAGGAAGAATAAGTTACTACAAAAATAAAGTCAGTTGAGTAGCAATAACGATAAAGTGAAGTCCATATTCGAAGACTTGATGCAAATTATTTCAATTTATTGTGTGATCCATTTTTATTTCTAGCCAAACGTATCGGATAATTACGGGTAATTTGTAATTTACTTCTTAGCTACATAATTATACTCTGTACATGAAATGTACAAGAGTATATTAGGTTTGCGGGAGCTGAAAAATGTAACAGGCAGAAGGAGGCGTGGCAGACCCCACAAAGTATATATATTCTTGATCAGCGTGACAAGACGAGCCGATCTAGCCCTGTCTGTCTGTCTGTCCGTCTGTCCGTCCGTATGAACACCTGGATCTCAGAGACTATAAGAGATAGAGACACCAAATTTTGCACAAAGATGCGTTATGTGTGTATTCTATACGAGTTTGTTTTATTTTTTTGATTTTCCCCCCCACTTCCCCCCTATGGGGGTTTTCCCGATTTTCCATTCGTATAATCGCCTATATCTCGGAGACCATAAGACCTAGGAACACCAAACTGCTGCAGCGCTGCCCGCGGCTGTTGTCGATGTTGCTGTTTGGTTGACTGCGAAAATGCTTACACAGACACGAATTGATGCGCATAGGCATACATACACTGACACAGACCCAATTTCTGTGTAAATGTGCAATTATACACCCTTTACGTGAGTTCGAATACCGAGAAAGGTAAAATCGATCATTGAATTTTTTTTTATTTTCTTAATTTTTTTTATTTTCTATAATTATTCTAAACATATGTACAGAGTATTTCAAAGTCGGGACACCCGACTTTAGCTTTTTTACTTGTTTTTGTATTCAGAACTTCCACAAGTGCTATATAAAAAGCTTTAGAAAAAAAGAGTAATTGTAAATAATTCCAAGTCAAGGCCATGATCTACGTTCATTTACGGATTCGGTTACATTTCGTAGAAACTCACGATTAATACATATGTTTTGATTATTATAAGAATTGAATAATAAATGCAATAAAAGGACGAAAGTTATTACATACTATATTTTTGTCGTTTCGTTAATCTTTCTTTTAAAACATATAGTTTTCCACCTATGTATAGCAATTAAATAATGTTAGTTACTATTATTTTAATTAATATTATACACTTAAATAATATTAGTTACTATTATTTTAATTAATATTACCTATTTTTTGTAAAATAAATAAATGACTTAAAACCATTTTGTTATTTGACAGTACACATGTATTAGAAATGCCGAAATAATGAAGTAATCACGAATTTCGTGAAATATGAAGAATATGTGTGCGAACCCCTTTTTTTTTTTTGTCACGCACACAGCTCTAATATATAGCACTATAATCCGCACAGACAAAATGAGGAAAACAAAAGAAGAAAAAAAAGCGAAAGTGAAAAAGTCGACAACTTCAACGTCACGTAAATGCGAACATTGAGCCAATCAAATAAAATGGAAAAATGCGTGAAAGGAAGCATCGCACATAGCCACAGCCACAGATACAGATACGGACACACACAAACACATAAGCACATGCACATGCAGACGCAGGCAAAATGACGTAAAAAGTGTGAAGTTTTTTGATTTACGAGCAAGTGGCGGGCGTCAAATCCGCTAAACAAAAGCGAATGCAAACAACGTTTAACATTGCACGCACACACAAGCAAACGGCTACACACACCCACCACACCCACACCCACACATATATGTTTGCATACAAAGAAAGGCACAGCAGGCAGTGCGCACAAACGCCAACAGGTGGCGCTGGCTTGGAAGCGTGGGAAATTAATCAAAAACAACAAGCGAACCCGCACAAATGCCAATTTACACGCACACAACAACATCATGCCTTGCGGACAGTTCGACAAGAGAATAATGGAGGAGCCGCCACACGCGACGTGACTCAGCAAATTAGGGTGCATCACAAAGTCGCTGAAAAGCATGCTACACATTTCACAAAAAAATACTACGGCTCTGTTCTATTGCAATGAATTTTCGGTTCTGATTTAGAAAGGCCACAAATATACATAGGAATAATTCACAGATAGAGTTGCATATATTATAATTATCTTTATAGATATAAATATTTGCAAATGAAAAAAAAAAAAACAAAAATGGGGTTCCTGTTACGCAATCCGGTAACAAATGTCACATGATATGCCCACTGGCACTACGATTCCTATTGAAGACCCGAAGGACCTACCTACGCAGATGACACAGCTATCCTGGCTAGAAACAAGAGTATCTTTGAAGCCACAGATATTCTGCAGCAGTACCTAGAGAGCTTCGAAAAGTGGGCAAATCGCTGGAATATTGGCATCAACGCAAGCAAGTGCGCCAATGTCACCTACGCACTGCGCAGGATGAGCTGTCCTGGCGTCTCCTCACAGAACCAGCTGTTGAATCACACCAAGAGCTACAGATATTTGGGCGTACTTTTGGACAGGCGCCTCACATTTCGAGAGCACATATGCTCTGTTGTAAAGACACTAATTGTTAGAATAAACAATATGAGATGGCTCCTAACCAACAAAAAACTGTCACTGAAAAACAAAGTGACTGTTTATAAGTCCTGCATCGTTCCCTCTTGGCGATATGGCTTACAAGTTTATGGAATCGCTGCAAAGTCACACCTGCAGTAAATGCGGGTCCTGCAAGCGAAAACAGGTGCTCCCTGGTACATGAAAACGGCACACATAGAAAGGGATGTAGGGGTGCAAAAAGTTGGAGACGTGCTAAATAAGCAGGCTGCGCAATATATGGAGCGTCTGCGAACCCATGTTAACGTATTAGCAAGGTGCCTGCTGAAACGGCGACGAAAAGGAAGGAAGAGTAGTAAGAAGGAGGCTGAAGAGATCACACCCTGCTGATCTTCCCAATAGATTTATTTAATATAAGAATAAGTAATTAATAATTACATGAAATAAATAATTAAATAAGACTAAACTCCTAGTTTAAGCTGTATTTGTATATTTCTATAAGTTTAATTTAAATTGTTGTAAATAATAACAGTAAAATTAAAGTTTTATCAAAAAAAAAAAGGTAACAAATGTAGTTAACATACTCACTGTATTATTTCGGGTCGATACATTTGAGGATCTTTTGGAGCTGCTTAAAGATTATGCGGATTGCAGATTCTAGCTTGCACACATTCAACAAATAGAGCCGACTACAATAACCTCAAATTTGCTGGTTGCCGAAAAGTTGTGGGCCGGATTGCTATAAACAAATGCATTGGCGGCACTCTCAGACATATGTTTGACAATGAACATTTTACAATCGACTGGTCGACCTTAATCGCAATAACTTTATGAACCAATTTAGCAAAGCACTTAATGTATATTGTCTTACAATTATTTTACACTCATATTCCAGAAAATAATAACCATAAATTAAAAATCTATACAATTTTAGTAGACGTTTAATTTAAGCTACTGTAAATAATAGCAGTATAATTAAAATTTTATATTTATAAAAAAAATACAATTTTAGATATAGAATTAAGCTTTTAGATCATATACAAAACTTTAGTATGTATTTTAATATAAGTTTAAAATATCTCTTTTTTTTTAAACCGCAAGTTAAATTCGTTATATTTCATTCATTGGACTAACATGTAGCTTAAATAAAGTCAAGAAATCAATTTCAGAAGAACGCCGATAATCCAGACTTCTGTTAACCAGGATGTTGATTTATTTTATACCTCTATTAACCGTGGTTCCATTTCTTAAAAGTGACACACATTTTATCAAATTTTTGATGTCACCAAATTCACCAATCAAGAGAATTAGTTCGGGTCAAATTTTAAGGAAAAATCTCAGGCAATAAAGGCTCAAACTATTCATTAAACTTTGCCGAGCCAAAAGGTATTTGCAATCTAAGGCAGGATTGCTGGACGACCCAACACTGATAATACCATAATAATAACAGTAACAATTATAGCAAATTCTTAACTTTTTAAAAACTAAAATGTTCATCGTGTACAGGGAATTTAAAATCGTTATTAACTTCGTTTATACAGCACTTCAAATTCACTCAAAATAGTTTTGTAAAATTCAAATCAAGTATGCACTGATTTTTATTTACATGACTTTATTAATTTGTGCTACAGAGCTCAGTTAGTCTACAGCTGGAAAGCCAACGGAACGGTTGTCGAGCTGAAAAAAATATAAAAATAATAAAAAAAAACTTGGAAATACATTTTTTCACAAAGGTAAGCATTAAATTAATTCCCTAATTATTTTATTCTTTTTTCTTTTTTCTTTGCAGGTATACTGAAGCGACCGGGAAATGGCCAGCGCTATTAAGAAGGTGATTCCGATGCTGGACCGCATCCTAATACAGCGTGCAGAGGTGAAGACTACCACCGCTGGGGGGATTCTATTGCCCGAGGACTCGGTGCCCAAGGAGATGCAGGGCGTGGTCGTTGCCGTCGGACCGGGAGCACGCAATCCGGTTGGCTCTGGGCATCTGCCCGTCGCCGTCAAGGAGGGTGATCGTGTGCTCTTACCCAAGTATGGTGGCACCAAGGTCGACATGGACGACAAGCGCGAGTACGTGCTGTTCCGGGAAACCGACATCTTGGCCAAGCTGGAGTAGTAATTGAAGAAGTTGATTTTCTGCAGCTTCAGAACCCAAATTGTGTAACCTTCTGCAGCTTAAGAAACCACATTTTGTTTGTTACGGGTCGTATAATCAACAAACACACATACGCACATACTACACATACTTGAAGCGAATTGCGTTCGAATCTAAATGATTATAATGAAATGTTTCATTTGGTAGCCGATTATTTGACACGACAAACACGTATATGTACAATCAGCTACAACAGACAGGCATAAATGATGATGTCCCATGAACACAAACTACACACTCGAAAATACTATTAGCTTGTAAGCCTACGTTTAATAAATGTTCAGATGCGTTTTTTCTTTCAAGAGCATTACATTTTCTATGTTTTTTATTTGAACCAAGCCAAGTGAATAGTTGGTGGTAAAACGTTTTATTGTTCAAGAAAATTCGACAGAAATGTGATAAATAACACAAATGCTTCTATTTTAGATTGAAATTAAGAATACGATGGGGAAAAGAAAGAGCTGGTTTTAATTGCCTCCCCTCTAGGAATTTTTCTTGGAGTTCTTAGCTTTCTTTTTTGTTAATAAACGCTTTTTATTTTTGAAATTTAAAAGGAACAACAATTAATGCATACCAGCTCTTTCATGTATTCTTTCTTTTTCTTTAATATTTAAATAATAACACTAAGAAATTCATCGCCAAACTTTAAACATAAACTAACTACCTTTTAGGTTTCGGTGATTGTCACATTTTTTTAAAACAGCAATTCTGCTATTTACTAATTGTAATATTTACCAATTGTAATTATACTATATTATAGTTTGTGAAAAGTTCGATTAATTTTGACTGCTTTTGAGCCATTTGTTAATGAATTTTCAAATATAAAGGAGGTTTGCAGAAAATTAAAAATTACTTTTTACACGAAGAAGACCGTAAAACTAAATGAAAGACTTTTAAAAACTATAAACGACGTCTTGATGACAACAGCACCACTTGTTTCACTTTAAAAAAAACTGAAATGTATTGTCACAAAGAAATGGATAATTATTTATTCTAAACATATTACACATTTATATATTTATCCACATTTATTAAGAAACAAGTTGTTGTTGTCATTATTATAAGTATTTCGTCCAAAGTCAGAAACAAGTTCAACAAGTATCAGCAATGTCTCTAGTTGTCAATCGATAGTTTCGAAGCATCAATCCTTTGATTTTCTTAATCAGTTGATGTTCTAGATTATCTGGGTTTGTCTTCAGCGCTTTCTCGACCCTCCTTGAACATTTAATACAATTCATTTGCTTTTGTTTATCAAAAGCATTAGGCAATACTCTTAATGTTTCGGCTGCAGAAATTCCATTACTTACACATATTTTAACTGAAGAAAATGAAATAGAAATTTTAAAAACCTATTCAGTATCGTTAATCAAATTTAAGAAATCAGTTAAAATGCATTAATCTTAGCTTCAGCCAAAACTGTTTACTAATATATTTATTTAGTTTTGAAACAAAACAGGAAGTGCTATAAACTACACAATTTTTAAAGTCCAGATTAAAAAATCATATTTTTATTTACTATATATGTATTTATTTGGAAAAGCATTCTACAATTTCTACATGTTTCTCTTTTTAACATTTGTTGATCCATTTTTGAAAGCGTTTTGAAAATGTTAATGGCAAGTTTATTTTGCGGTATAGTTTTCATAAAAAATTCTACAATTACGGTCCACCTTTTCATTTTGTTTACGAAGACATGGCAGGCTACTTCTAATTAAAACTCAAAACAAAAATAGAGTTCGAAAGCTGCTCACAAACGGAGCAAAAAAGGTGCCAAGAATTGAGAAGCGTGGAGCAACTGGCACGGACGTCAGCTGGCTGCATACAAAATGAAGTCGCGCTAAGCTGCAGCTTTGTCTATATGTATGTGTGTGTGTGTGTGCTTGTGTGTGAGTGTGTTTCTGTGCGCCCACACGCGTGATTTTCATGCCAGTCGTTGCTGCCAACTCCTTTGCTGACGTTGCAGCAACAAGTTAACTCGTCATCAATTTCGCAGTGCTCATAACTTTTCCACCTTCTGACTCACTCCCCATGCGATTTTCTTTCACTTCCGCTCCCATTCTCCCGTTAGCTAGTTGCTTACATTTTTTTCAATTGCGTTTTTTTTTTTTACACTGACCCTCTCTCTACGCTCATTGGCGGTGGTCGCTTCGTGCGTTGACGCCATCGTTTCGTTCTTCGTTTGCATGCCATACGCTTCGTGTTCCGCATTGGTTGCCGTTATCTCGTACGAAGGCTGTACGGTAAATGCTGCTGCTGCTGCTTCTTGCCTAGCTTCTCCAGCTATAAAAGCCGTTGGTCGACCACATTTTGGTGGCAATTCGAAAAAGTGTTTGGACACGCGTTAAGTGAAACATTCTGGACACGTTGATAAAAAAAGAGTGCAAATTGAAAATTTTTAAAGATTGGCAAAAATCATTTAATACAAAAATCCATCTCAAAAGCTTGCGCAAAAACATATTTTGGTCTTCATTGTGCTCAGTTCTTTGGTGAAAATTGAAAGGCCATTTTTGAAACATGTGGTACATAAAATGCAGTTGGACTATTATGCTATTTGTGGTGCTCTTTGCGCTTGTCGAAGGTAATAATTTGTTGATAAATTGCCATTTAATATTAAATATAAGTCGATTTAAATTAAGAGCATATTTGCATTTTATTTTCGAAGAGAATTTTTGTAGCGACATAAAATTGTAGCATACTTTTTGGTGCTCCTGAATATGAGCTTGTTTTGGAGAATTGCATAGTTTTTCAAAGATCCGATTTGTATATACTTGTAGTATTTGTAGCACTCCGCACTCATTTCCGTGTGCGTCATAGTTTCGGAACCAAATTTTTCTGGGAATTGGTGCTCCAGTTGTTTGGATGGCGGCATTAGTTGAAAGCAAGCCGCCTCAACATACCTGAGCCACAAACATGTGTATACATACACGTATATGTGGGCAATAAAAATGCCAACTACCTTATTATAATTAATATTACAGTTTGTAATACCTACTATCACATTTTATGCACATTTTCCTGTCACCCTTTGGCCTTAGTCACCCTTTTACAAGTCCGTTACGTCTGACAGCGATCAAATGCCCACAAATGCCTCGACAGTTTTAATTGCTGTCGTAAATTACTTGTAATCCGAACTGCGTGCCAAATAACAACGAACCCAGCTAGGAGCCAACCAACATCTGTAGTAATACAAAAAATCGTGTGAACGGCTCAAGCTGTGCACCTGCAGGCAGCTCTCGAACATTGCAGTTGTGGGTGGTCGAGGGTACTGACTGTTATATCCCTGGAGATAGGCGTGCACCGCCTAAGTTCATGGCGCAAATAGGCGAGACGACAATTTAGGGGCCAAACCACACATTCATAAACAATTCTAATATATTGGCAACAACAGTTTGATAAAAAGGCAGATATAAATACAAGCGAGCGCACAAATGTACGTAAAAGGCAAACTAAAACAAACCATTGGGTTAGGTTCAGGTAACTGCAGGAATAGCCAGATCAAAGTTATTTTGGAGGCTAAATTGGGCTTTTAAATTATAAACTCCTTGAATTAACAAAAGGTCTTTATATTTTCTTTGAAATAGAATACCAGTTTCAAAATGATGAGCAAATAAATTAGTATTACGTATATAGCTGTCTTCTTATCTACTCTTTAGGTGTTTCACTAATTGCTTCCAATTAGCTTGGTTAATTCTACATTCTACACGAAATACTTATCTACACATATTCCAAGCTGCAGCAAATATTTGATGTTAATAGATAAGATAAGATAAATTGATTCAAAAACAATCCATACTAAAAGAGCTCTTGTTGCTTTCCCGATTACAGCACATCTGAATATAAATAATCAATTTAATCAATCATTAATCGACATAACTATGAACATGTCTCATAATTTTTGTACATGTACTTGTAGAATGAAAACATTAGGTTGGTTTCATGTTTGTTGAATAAACAGAAAATGGTAGCTTTTCTGTAGACTCTTCTTTAACTGAATGTCTTGGTTTTTAAAATGCTGTTTAAAGACGGTTAGACGGTTCAGGTCACGTTTATAAAAATTTGATTTTATTTTTCGAAAATATCTAATAATCTTATCACAAAGAATGTTTTTACACAGCTGACAATTATTAACAATAGTTTGTTTAACGTTCCTAAAATATCATTGTTAGTATGTATTAGTAATGGTGCCAAAAAATATGCTGAAGATCGTATATACAAACCTTGTTGTTTCCTTTTCGTTACATTTGATTTCAAATCAGTCTTTTGATATTTAGTTAAGGGTTACGTTAATATTTTTACAGGTGAGGCCTTTTTGAGTAAAAATATAGACAGACTAAGAAAATCGTTTACTTTTACAATTTTACTTTTTCTTTTACAATTTTCATTTTATAAAATGTGTCACCTTCTTTATTGATTTGGTTTACAATGATAGCATTTATTTAAATTTGTGATATCTTACTGAGGCTTTATTTTATTTATTCCCTTACTTTCATTGGAATAAAGTATTAAAGGGTTCGCCAATTTGAACAGATTGAGTTAAGTTTTTTTATCTCTATTGGAATATCTTCTCCAAAATAAAAATAAAAATGAATTTAAATTCAAAAGGCTGAAATGCAGCAAACAAAACTATGACTTGTGACCTACACAAATTTTCATGTACAACGACTTGACCTCTTCAATAAGACGATTTAAAAACTAAAGCGCATTTGTGTGTATTTTCTGTTCCTTTAACTTATTTATGATGATATTTTAATAAAAATAATTTATTTAAATCTACCGAAAATATATGATCTTAAATTAAACCTTAAACAAAATTGTTCCTTGTTTAATTCAGATTACTTATAAAATTGTTATAAAATGTTAATTTTCATTTCAGTTAATCAAAGCTTTCTACGCTTAAAAGTGGAAGCACAGTTTTGTAGCATATTTTTTTATTTACCTTTCATAGTATTGTAAAAATGAAAATAACAAAATCACATTAAGTTTTAAATCTTAAAAATCCGTTTTTATTCATACCTCTTTTAATTTAATGTTAGTCAGTAGGTCTATTCTATATTAATTAAATAGCATTCTTATAGCAATTGCGATAATTGCGTTTAAACTTTAAATGTAATTTACATTTTGTAATTCCCCGACTCCAAATGGTGATCTATGGATCTAGCTAAGGGTTCAAATCTAATTGCCGGCAATAAATCTCACCTGTGAGTAGATGTTTTTTGTTTTTTTCATTTTCATTCTTTATGTAACACTGATAGACAAAAAGTGCTTAATTGCGTAACACTTGGCGACTTTTGAAGAGCAATAAAAACGCCATTATGCTGACGGCCAACGCAAAACCTGAGGTTTCGCAACTGACCAAATAAATGCACTCGTTTGGGTCATTAAAACAATGGCCACGTTAATTAAGCGCTTAAAGGCTGCACTGTACACATTTCTTTTTAATGACAGCCCCCTCGACAATGTGGCGCCTCAGAGTCCTTGCCAGACAGACAGCGCTATCGCTATCGCTCTGTCAACCATTCTTTCGATGGCCTGAACGCCTGTCAACAAGTGCCCGACCGACCGCAATTAATCCGCGACTTAAGTAATTGACAAATGATTACACGTTTGATATATGTGGGCTCAACAATGAGTGGCGGTAGCAACAGGCAATCGCCGCCCACCTCCTACTCCCTCCTGTTCCCCATCCACATGAGAGAGGGCTCTATGTCTGTGTCTATGTCTATCTAACCATACTATATATACCTTCTATTCAATGGCCAATTTAAGCTTATGCAAACGGTTATACAAATGAGTGGGCCGGCAATGAATGCAGGCCAGCACCTGCGTCACAATTTGTTTGGTTACTTTTTTATGAAGCTGTTGCTTGGATAGAGCTTGCGTAAATGGAAATGTCATGTCCCCAGTTATAACACACACTCTCCTCTCACACATGCACACTTTCACACAAAATGAAGAAGCGACATCTGATGGAAAGCCTTTTGTGTGGAATGTTACGATCTGGGCCATTTGTCTGATTAGTTTCGGTCATACAATGCAGCCTTGCACCTTGAGTGTACGAGTATATTATTATTTTTGTCGTGCTTTGTGCACATGTCTCTCAATGTGAGTGAGAGCGCGTGGGACGCACTTTTCGCTTTTCACTTTTCAGTCAACAGCTAGTTGCTGAGTGCTACTTTCCGCACATTATTCACACTCGCACACATGTGTGGCATCATGCCTGGCTTCTTATTACCTTGCAACATGGCTTGTGAGTCTAATGGCTACATTTATCATAGGTCGCGACTCGCAATAGCATTACCGGAGCATAAAAGTTCTGCCAGTGTGTGAGGATGAAGATGTTTGCCACTTTCTTAAACTTCCTTAAAGTTTTTGCCCCTTTCATATTGTTGTGCTTGTTGCAAGAACCCGCTCTGATCAATGCTGATGCCACTGTGTCTACTCATTTGCCCATAAATTGTGTAAGGCTTAGAGCTATGTATGTAAGGTCTTTGGCTCCACAGGTTGCCGCCTTCCAAGACTTTTTTATTATGATTTATATTAACAGCGAACAAACTGTTGCATACTTTCAGGCTCCTGCTTGGAATACGGCCATTCCTGCTGGGGTGGTAAGTAAGCGGCGACTGCGGCTAATTTCCCTAGATTTTCTAATCACTTGCGACATTAAATTTGCTTGCAGCTCATGGCAAACGGTCGGGCATAAAGGCCAGCTCATCTTTGGCTAATGGCGAGACGCATAAACAGGTAAAAGCTTGCTCTAAATATTATAATACGGCAGGTTCACTTCCTGATAAAGAATTCATCCTAAGCAGCTCAAGTGTCATTTTTTTAATGATTATTGATAGAACTAAACGAAAAATAATAATCAACATATGCATACATACATACATACCTACTTATATCAAAGCGATATTTCATAAATAAACAGCACAGAAAAAATGTCGAAGTGAATAAGAAATGAGAAAGTAATGTTAGCTCGACTTTCTTGTCTTATTCAAATAAATCGTATATAAGTAGTATAACACCCTATTATTCTACAAATATTATCCTACTCTTTGTGCTTAAATTAAAATACACGATTCCACCCAAAGTTGTTTAAAGTAGAGTGATATTTTGCATTAAAATAATTGGCATAATAGTAAGTTCTCTATTAGTTCCAACCTGAAACACCAATTACCTATTAGTGTTTTAAATAAATTGAAAGATAGATAACGAACGAATTACCAAGAACATAAAAAATATTAGAAGCGATGTAATTTCGATGTAATTTAAAAAAACATTTACGGAATCAGTATGAGTATGAGAATATTCATTTAAAATTTGTAACGAACTTGTAGCGAATAAATATTTTAGTATTTCAAATTTTTAAGGGAAATAAAAACTGATATTTAAAATTCTTTCTTCCAATTTTTAATCAATAATCGATAAATAAATCTTAACTAATATATGTAGAATGCGGCTTAATGACTCAGTTGATAGAATGACTTGTGCTTTAACATATAAGGAACTCTATTTGTTGCACTAGGAACTAATTACCAATAAATGAATAAATAAATTGTAAATTGAACTCATTGTGTTTTTTTTTGCTTTTAGCTAGCGCCCCCTTACTCTGACAACATTGCCGAACTCCTTACCAGCAACAACGATAACCCCGAAGACGATGAGGATACTGAAGATAATGATGCCTTGACTGCTCCCGTTGCTCTATCCAGTATTGATGCCAGTGCTCGGCTTGCGGATGATAAATTGGGGCAACTGTTGCAGCAACGTCGCTACAAATTCAAGCAATTGCAGTTGCAACAGCAGCAGCAGCAACAACAACAACAACACATGCAGCATGGTCATCGTGATGAGATGTTTGACAGCTCGGCGGAAAGTTGGCGCAAGTTGTCGCCGATCTTGAGCAGCAACAGCGCCTACGAGTTTGCGAAGCGGCGCGCCAACTTGCGGCAGGCATTGCTGTTGCAGCAACAACAACAACAGCAACAGCAGCAGCAACAACCACCACAACATGCAGTTCCCCTCAGCGACATCTACGAATTGAAAAAGTGAACCCGACGACACGAATTTGAAAGTCTAAATTATGCATAAAGCTTAATTACAACAAATAAAACGATATTTATTCAGCAACCACAACAACAGCTATAGAGAAGAGCGCCAACCAAGCAACATTACTATTTATATACATATAAATATATTGTATAAAAGAGCAAATTAAATGTAACACTAAATTATAAGCATGTTGTTGTTTATTATTATTATTATTATTGTAATTAACATTATAATTAATATTACAATTTTTAAGCGCCGCTCTTCGAAAACTCGCCACACTCTCCCCGTTCTGCACTTTGTTGGGTAAAAACATTGCGGCAAGGGCTGGATGTCGCAATGTTAGCCCCCCTTCCCTCAGAATTAATATTTCGCTTAAGCATAACAGTATTTATTATTAACAAATAAAACTTACATATTAAAAACCATTAGCTTGAGAGAGAGAGAAACTTATTTAAATTATAGAAAGAACGTCACATTTAGGCCTTGATCTTGGCGGGTATTTGGAAGCAGGCCGCATCGCCCTGCTTATCGCCCAAGCCCCAATGAATCTCCAGACTAACTGTAGGATACACTGGCAATATTTTGAAGCTATTCCTATACGTATATGTCTCGCCAGCCTTCAAGGGGCAGCCCACATGCTTCTCGCCAGCCGCATCGTAAATGTGCGGACAGGCACTAGTACCATAGTAGCCGGGGAAGGGCAGCGGCACGTCGAGTATAATTCCCTGTATGTCCGAGCTAAGCTCTTTGAAGTCCCGATCTGGCTTGATTTTCATCTCAATGCTCGCCTCCGTGTTCCGCTTCAGTATGCATCTGCTCTTCGGACAATTGGAGATGGTCACCTCGTTGGAGGAGAGGGCGCGCGCTTTGGCTGTGGAAACACAAAACACCCTGTTAATTGGCATTCGCTAATATATCCGATATATATCCACCTACTTACAATTGGGACATTGCTTGACCTCGGTGGCTGTTGAGCCACCGCTAAGCAGAGCGGCGCAAATTAACAGAAAACCAGAGCTGGGCTTCATTTCAGCTGCGGGCAATAAAGATAAGTATTATGAGAACGCTATTAGAGACAGTTTGCTTAAGGCGCTAATTATATGAGTCTATAAAGCAGGTACACTAGTACCTTTTAACTTTTATACTTTGACTTTCGTGATGCAAAACTCTGGAATCTTAACTCTAAACTGACTAACAAGTCGTACCACAAATCCACTATTCATAAATAAATTAGTATTGTAATATCAATATATTGATATCCATTAATAAATCATAATTCTTTATGTATTTAATAATAATGATGTTTCACAATTTTTATCAAAGTCAGAAGTCTATGTATATTTACAGACTTTTCGATTCGGACACTTTTATATTCTCATTGATAGCTGAAAGAAAACTAATAAATTAGGCCTCAAACATTTAGAAAAATAAAAAACGAATGCAATTTCATTTGTGTTTTTTCTTGAAGCGCACTTTCACCCTTTTGGGGTCTGAATTTTCCTATGAAAGGGAACTTTTTTCATTATTTTAGATGCCCAGCTTTTACTCTGCTACTCAGAGAAGTCTACATTTTTGTTAAAAAATAAAAATAAAAAAATAAAAAATAACAAATTTTAAATAAAAAGGGCTGAATATTTTTTTTCTGAAGCTGTGGTCAGACAAGCAAATTATTTGCACACGAAATTTGTTTGAAATTCACAAGCAAGTCATGAGTAGCTATAAAACAATACCATTATTTCATCAAAAAAATTTATTCAGATTCACTTTTCAAAAACAAAATGTTTACACGTTATTTGGTCTTTGAAAAGTAAACCTAAATAAAGTGTTTTGAAGGACAAATTATTATTATTATTATTAATTATTATTATACAAGTGCATGTCTGAACGCAACGTTATTTTCATCTCTATTCAATTTTGTACAAGTTTTTTTTGTAAGAAAATGCAATTCTTAGTCTAAGAAAATTGTATTTTCAGCCCACATGGATAATTCTCATCTCATCTTTCAACATACACTTTAGAACAAAAGGTATTGTAGTTGCTATTATATAGATATGAATTGCCAGAAACTTATTTTCAATTTCTCACTTCCCATTGTCTTGTAGGATAGTGTCTTACAGCCTCAACTATTCGTTATTAAACACACAAACGGTTCGTACGTAATTTAATTTCAAAAATATGAACAGACAAACCGGTTCGGCGATGGCGCTTGAGACGAAAGATCGACCTTGACTTGAAATTGGCACGCAACAACAATAAATTAAAAACTGGCAATATGCCATTAAATGAACAATAAAATGGCAACGATTGCCATGCGCATCAGTATAAGTGCAAACGTAAAAACTATCTCGCAGTTAGTTTTTACAAGTAGACAGCAGATAGGGTGTTAAGTTCAAATAGTTCCTTCCAACAATTACTCAAGTGCTTGAGGTAATACAAATGAGAAATGTTTGCTTTCAAATTATTTAAGTGCTGTTGTAACAGAGTATGATGAAAAAACTACAAATTACGATGTAGGGAAGAAGACAGAGTTGCTGACTGAGGAATAATTATAATACTTGTATTAATAAACAATTTAAAATGGGTGCAGAGTTTAAAGAAATCTCTTAATTTATTTAAAATATTGCAGATAATAAATTTGAAAAATGAAAAACAATGAATTACTGATGTTTTAACGCTTTTCTGCACCTTTTTTTTGTGAATTTGATGCGAATATTTTGTAAGCATCTCGACTAGAAAATGAAATGTTAGAGAAAAAGTTGAGAAAAGGTAGAGAAGAATTAGAGAAATGTTAAAGAAATGCTCACATTTTCTCATTTATAAATAGTATTAGAAAAAAGCAAACTCTTGATTGAAAAAGCGCAATATTTCTCAAAATAATATCAAAATAGCAAACCCCTAAGATAAATATTTGTAGCTTCTGAACTATTTTTCCGTTTTCTCTTGAATTTCGTTTAATTTTATACATCATTTTAATTTGTTTACCTTATAAACACGAAGTCTCATCGCCACATGTATAGGCAGAAGAAAGCGTGGCAGACCCATGCTAAAGGTACATTTAAATTAAATCATACGTATTTTCCTAAAATTTGAGAATTTGTTTAGCTCAAACGTTAAACAAAATTTTTATTATCCGTCAAGATGCTCTGCCCCAGTGTTGCTGAAACATGCTGTAGACTGTTTAGATACATATCTACACATGAAAACAATTGCTTGATGCGGAAGCATGTTGCAAACTGCTTAGACACATGTTTACGGGCACTTTTGAAAACAGTCGCTTGTTGCGGAAACATGCTGCAGGTTGCTTAGATAGGAATTGTCGCTAAGTTCGACTCAGTGTGAGAAAACAAGAAAAAGCCAGCAAGAAGAAGAGTGGAGAGTTGATATAAATATAGCACCTAGTATTATAATTTCAATGGATTCCTAGAGGGGACAGATATTTGTTATATAATTCATATAATATAATGTTTTTAGACAAACTAAAAAAAAATTGCATACACCTAGCAGCATCGACATTGAAATGTAATTTTTTGATCGTCTAATGGACAGCATTCTTGTGTACACCTAATTCTGTTTTTCCACGGTATATTGGTTGGTAAATGGAATAAAATTTTTAATGTTTAAACTGTGTTAAATCAAAACCGTGTAACATTAAAGCCGGGTAAAAAAAAACCTTGTAAAAACATAATTAGGTGTAGTTTAATTAAATAGCAGAAATTATTTCACCAGATTAGAGTTTTTAGAGATTTTAGATGATAAAAATAAATACTAAATAATGTTTTCACACAGCTCCTAAAAAAAAATAATTTGAAAGTTTATCAAAGCTGTTATTTGATTCGATTCGATTTGATATGAAGAGAGGTATGAAGGGGTGATATTAGGAGGATATCAATAAAGGGTTCTTAGCAGTTGCTTCCTTAGTATTATCAGCATGCAAAGTTCACAATAATATTTAGTATATGAGCAGTATTTGGTGTTATCTTAAGTAATTGAAGCCCCCTAGGATTTCTGTAACTCAACTGTGAAACTAATGAGTGTTGCTGCTGCTTTTCTTTCAACGTCTTTATACATTTGGCAATTCTTTGCCAAAAGTTGTACTTAAACTGTATTTTTGTGAATTTAATTTTCAACTTTGTCTTTAATTTTCACGTATATGGAAATAGCAGCGCATATCAAACCGGTAGCTAACTATTTAATTAACAAATAAGCTAAGTAGTCGCTAAAAGATTTCACAGCACGGATAGATTTTACGCTTAGTACTTAAGATGTGCCTTTAAAGATCAGTTTACAAAACAAACACAAACAAGCTATTGAACACATAACTTTTGAGCAAGTGGCAACTACTATAATAGTTTTTATAGGCCATCACATTTCCATAACTCTAGACACATTTTTTGCATGTCTGCTCGTCACTTTACGAGTCGACTGCGGCTTAACTCTAATTGAACAATTTACCAATTTTAGGCGATTATACTCGTAAGGAAGAAAGAATATCAGCAACAATTGCGTTGATTCGGCGTCCGTAAATTTATTGCACTCGTATCAGATACGAGTGTGTAGATACTTTTGAAACGAACTGCGAATCGAGCGATGTTTCGAAGCCTCCAAGCTGCTGCAGGCGACTGAGCCCGCCTCGCACGGCCGGCCGCATATATATACATATAGTAGCACTCGTCGGTAGTGGCCGTTGAAGTGGCGATCTGGCCTGACTCACCCAATTGACCGGCGGGTACGAGCAGGTCTTGTGCTTTCCAGCGCCGGCCTTACACGGCTTTGGAGAGACAGCGCGTCGGGCAGATCTGTAGAACTTTTTGGTTGGCGTGCTCCGCGTAATTGACGCGTATTGCTTGCAATTTGTGGGGCAAGTTGTTCATTTTGCGTTTAAATGCTCAAACGGACTTTAATTAATTTTGGAGCTGCCTCTTTAATTAGTTGTATCCGCACCAACTGGATGCGCGCTTTATTTAGCGCATTGCGTGCAAGTCATTCAACAGTTTTCTTAGCTACTTAGCTACGTACTTGCAAATACAAGTATCTGAGAGATGTGCGCATTTATTAGCTCTTGACCAGATACACAATATTTACATACAAGTATATCCGTATATACACACACTATGATCGTACAACCACTTTTGATGGCGTTCAGTAAAGTCAACAACACTACTCAAGTACTTCCCCAAAGCCGTCTAAGGCATACAACTATTCAATAGAGGGTCTCTCAGTTCTGGTATGCACTATAAAGCTTAACGGTTGATATTAAGCTCAAAAGAGGTGTAAAATAAAACGTAATAAAAAAAGAGGAAGCACCAGGGGATACAAATTACAAAATGATAATTATTTTTTTAATTTATTCATTTATTCAATTTAGATTTTTTCTTTTCCACTTATCATTATTTTTGAGCATTAAACTAATAAAATAATAATTATTATCCTTCAAGTTTTATTTTTTAATCAAAAATTATGATTCAAATTTTAAGTGTCCTTAAACAAATATTTTCAAGCAAAATTATAGCATGAGTTTTATTTTTGATCCAAAAAAAAGAAGAAAAAAACCTCAAGGAATAAACAGTATTTTATTATTTCATAATAACAAATGATTATTATTGATAATGATTATTAGTTAAGTTGTTAAGTAAAACTCAAAATTAATTATTAAATTTTGAGGAATTGAATAAATATTAAAATCTTTCTCAAAAGTTAATATAAGCGAATGGTTTGATGGCTTAAATAAAGCAAGATAATCATTATTTGCGGTCCCTGGGAAAAACTAATCAGAACTTTAATTAATAATTAGGATTAGGCAGCGAAACAAAATTGGTAGCCAATCAACAAAATCAATTCTAAAAGTAAAAGTATTAAATAATTCTGTTTTTACACGGTAGATTGGTTCCAGATCATATGTTATTTTAAATCGTGCAAAATGGAATAATGTCGTGAAACCATACATATAGTATATAAAATTTTCAATTTTGAAAGTGTGTCAAACTGTGTAAAAAAAGACCGTGTAAAAACAGAATTAGGTGGCATTAGGCATTAGGGAACAGACCCGAAAAAGGTAATCGATTTCAAAATAAACTAAAACTAAAAATAAGGAGCTGTCGAGAAAACATTGAACTGAAATCTGATTTAATAGAATCGTATGCTGGCAACCCAGATCTGTAATGAAACAAGCAATAAACTTTAAAAAGAAAACAATTTATAAAATTTCAGCAAATATTTTAAAACAGAACTACACATTAAACTTGAAGCACAAAAATAAATAAAAACAAAACCAAAGCTACTCTAATGCCGAACCAATTCATAAAGGAACGTAGATCGAAAACTCCGGAAGATGACAATAAAATGAAACTTAAAGAAAGTTCAACTTTTTAACAGAGAATATATCAACAACTGAATAGAGAACAAACAAAGGATTAAAGAACACAAACAGGAACAAAGATCTATAAAATGTATTCGACTATTTATACGTAATGGAAAAATCAATGGGGAGAGAAAGGAAAGACAGATAAACAACACAAAAGACTAAAATAAGAAGTGGAAACACAGCTCGAAAAGTGAGAGAAAAAAGCTTAGACATTAAAACAGAATTAATTATTATTATTAAATTATACTACACGTGGCAGAAACAACATTTCACAAACACAAGGCAATGACTTTTCACCTGAATTTGAATTTTATTACCGAATTCAAATTAATATTTATTAACATAAATGTATTATTATTTTTTAGGCATTCAATTTTGTTCGCTGAACTTTGCAAATAAACAACACCAGTTGCGTACAAAGTTCGCAATTCCCCAACTTAGACGTTCCAATGCTTTATTTGTAGATGTATTGTAATAAGCCAACTCTGGTACTTAAAATGCAGATCGCATTCAAGTAATTAAATAAATAAATAAAGAGAACATTGGCATGCCCGTGTGTGTATTGCGAAGGCAGTGTGAAAGCTGAGTAGTTGAAATGGAATGCATTCTAGATACAATTTCGAAAGAGTAGCCATAAAGTTTAAAGTAGTTATCTACAGATTGTGGAAGTCCACAATAAACTGCCAACTCACAGCTCCCATTTGATATGCAAGTCGCAATTGTTCGAGGCATGCCATTTAAATTCCACGATCCTAGGCGATTAGTTCACCCGTTTAAGCAAAACTGACGCGATTTCATTGTCCAGCTAGCAGGTTTATTACTATACTATATACAAGTATAGTATACAATAGCATGATGTAGGAAGTTCATTTTTGATTTTATGACGACTGCGAACAGCACGCGACTCTTCCTCAAATCAGCATTTGGATAGCTATGATGTTTATTGGAGAGAACGTGATTTGATTTCGATGCTGTTCCTAAAATCCAAAAATTTTTGAATTTTTTTTGTGTTATTTATTATTTATACACTACATCTGTGCATTATTTGTTCACAAATTAAAACTTTCGCAAACAGGTTTTTTCATGTTACTCAAAAAAAAAGTGTTATAAAATAATTAGGATTTTAAAATATGGGAAAGCTTGAAATTAAATACCTTTCACCACAGCTAAGAGTACTAATTATTTGTTTGGTTTCTTCTTTTTCAAATGGATATTAGACAATCAGAGTCAGTCTAATCGGCTAATCGGGCAGACAGTCAGTTTTGGACACAGAGACTGAGACAATTAAATAGTGGGGCGTTATCTGGACTACAAAAATCGGACAGTTAGAAACAATATCAGCCTAATCGACAATAAAGCAAAGAGTCAGACAGACATTCAGAAAGCAAACTAAGTAAGTCAGTCAGTCAAACAATCAAACAATTGGGCATATGGCTGCTCTGATACTTCAATTTTAGAATCATAATGCGGATTGATAATAAATAATATGCCTGGCATTTGAAAACCCACTCTGGTATCTAGAAAACATATATAAATATTTCTACACCTAACTCTGTTTTTACACGGTCTTTTTTTTAATTTTTTTTTTTAATTTTAAGTATATGGTGGCACGGCTTTATTCCATTTAGCACGATTCAAAATAACCCATGATCAATGTCTTTTTTTACACTTTTTTTTACACGACTTTTAACAGAATTAGGTGTATTTCTATAAATGTTTTTATAACAGAAAACTATTTTATATTTTAAAAAATATAGCAGCTATTAAGCAGAATAGTCAGACTATATTCTAACTAAAGACAAATATTTTATATTTTTTTTTATTCAGAATATCAAGAATAATACTGTCAATTACATTATAAAACTTAATATAACAATTTAGAATATAATTGACAGTATAGTTTGTATTTGTATAGTTTTAAGAACTCGTTTATCATTTCAGTAACAATAATCAATTGTTTAGGAATTATTCCGTAGTTGTGATAAAATATATTTCATTAGAATTCGCGAAATTATTTTATACTAATAGTTTCATTAATAATTTTTGTCTCAATTTGGCTTTAATTTCAATTTTCAATATTTTGGAGTAGTTCGGAATATTTTTAGAAAATGAATCAGAAATTGAGAGTCTTTAAAAGATCAAAGCGCTGTATAGAGTACCGGCAATGAGGTCAACAGTTCTACTTGTATAATTATTTTTGCATGATTTCTATAACAAATTGTTTTTCCTGTAAATTGATGCACAAACAATAGATAATTAGCTTGACTGGCAACTAAAGGTAGAGGAATTGGGGGGGTTTTGAAAAATTACTGCACTGGCAGCAATCTTTTTAGAGATGAAAGAGTTTAAGGGGAGATTGGACATTCAAATAATTTCCACACACATTTATTGTATTTTCCAAGCAATTCCCGAAGCTGTTTATTATTTCAATAGATATCATGTAAAGATACTTTGATTGGCCAGTCTAACCAGTCTGCTTTACACTCCGCTTAGTTATCAATGAAAGAATGCTTTTCACTTTTTAGGAAACAACTTACGGTGCTGGTTGGGCGCTAACTGGATTATGAGGCAGACAACAACAGAAAAAAAAAATCGGATCGTTTTCCTTCTTTTTGGCGTATGGGCGCGACTTTCGGCTTCGGTGTTCGAAAGGCAACTAAAAACGAAATCGAAAACTGAGCCAAGCGTTGCAAAAGAGCCATAAAGCTTGACAAATTGACAACGACACTAACTTAATGAGTGATTGAGAAAGTGAGAGCGTGAGTGAATGACGACAGCTGATCGGACAGGGTGTTGTTGGCGCAGAGAGGCGTAGCCGGTTTAGCTCTGCTGCATTTTTTACACATTTTTCTGTTCGACTTTTTTTTATAGTGTTTTTTTTTTTAGTTAGTATGCGACAAAATTGAAAATTTCCGGCCTTTTGTTGTTTGCATGCGAGCCAACAATGTGTGTGAGCGTTTCTTTGTGTTTGTGTTTGCGGGCAACGTTCAGATTTTAAAGCCGAGAAGGCGTTAAAAATGCTTAACTTCGGATGCTTATGATCAGCACAAAGACTAGCTATAAATAAATATTTAAACAAGAAACAACAACTTTAAATGCAACGCAATGAAATATATTTATTTGCATTGCAATTCTCACGCAACAGGAAGGCTTGTTTCAAGGTAGAGGAAAGTAAGCTTTTATTTCATTATTTTTACTGTCCACATAGAAAGGCATTTTCAAATTGTTGTCAAAGTTTTTGGCG